TGTAAAACTACTCCAAGCTATTTCAGCCCAACACCCACATGATTCACAGAGAGGGGGGGAGTGAAGGAGAAGGAGGAGGACGGAGCTAGGCAACATCAGCTAACCCCTATATTCTGGCTCCTGCGTTGAAAGTAAAGGCATCTATGAACGCAACATAACATGAAACGCATTAGAGAAGCAGCGGGCGAGCGCCGCTGAAATGAAACCCCGGGACCTTTTTCATGGACTTTTCACATTCTTTTCTATTTGGGGTGGGGGGGGGGGGGGGAGCGGACAGGGACAAGCGAACCAGTAATTATAATAACATCAAATGAGAGAAAAGTATAAACTTAAACAGAGTTGTGGTTTCAGATGGCATTGACAAAAGGGTGGAACTGTTTTTCTGTTTTTGTTTTTTTTAATCCAAATTAATCTAAAAAACAAACAAAACTAATGCTTTTACAAAACTAGTCAAATTCCAACATTAAATTTGTTTATTAATTTGTATTTTCAGTGTTCTTTTGTCACCACTGACTAAATCACACACAGGAACAACAACAGTGGGAAACACTTCTTATTACATGACATTAAATAATTTTACTGTCATCCCTGTGTTATAAAGATAAACGACATCAACTACAGGAAAAACTGTCTGAGATAAGACACCGTTTTATCAACAAAGGCGACACAGACTGGATGTTGGGCCTTGGTTTAAATGATAGTTAGTGTAACTTCTAATAGTTAATTTAAACGGGTTCTAATAAGGCAGTGTAACAGACGAGGTGAATCTGCTTTTAGTGTGTATTTATATCCCTAACCTGGACGGTGTGTGTCTGTCTGTGTGTGTGTGTGTGTGTGTGTGTACACCAGCCTAGTGAATTATTTATTTTATCTCCTTCGAGCGACACTATTACAGGCCAAACCACAAATGCGTCCATGATGATGATGAATATTAGTAACAGGTAATAATAACAGGGTTCAGCGAAGCCCTGAAGGTTTTAACCGAGACGGAGAATGAAGCAGTGAGAAAAGAAGAAGGACAACAAAAACAAAAACAAAAACAAAAACAAAAACAAAAACAAAACAACAACAAAAAAGCACTAACGCTAACTAACTCGCAGCTAACTGAACATTTGCACCGCTTTACACGGGACGAAGCAGAAAAAACCAGGACCGTGAACACAACACAGTTCATTCAGCGAGGTTCCACACACAAAAAAAAGTTGACTTTTTTAAAGTTTACACACGCCACAAAAGAAACTTCTGGACTCACCTCCGGTCCTCCCGTCTGTTCGCCCGACATCACGGCTCGGTTCGTCGCGGAGAAAAGTCGCTGGTACGATGGCGAATGGACTTCCTTGAAACGGTTGTCAGGAAGCCACGGAAGATTCTCCAGTCAGCGGCAACAGCAACAGCGAGATACTTCCCTCGAATTCTCCTTTACAACCACTGGCTCGGGACGTCACACGTCACATGGGCCGATGCTGCCTTTCATAGGCCGCTGCTCATCCACTGCCTGGTCGCTACCGCTGGAATAGGTTTAATACCACATTATGAGTTTGTCCATAACAATCAAATTATTACATTTGAAACTGCCCTGCGTCGACGATGCAATTGTTGGCGATAAATCAAAGAACGGTCATGTCAAACACCGTTATCGTCGTTATATGCAAAATGAAATAATACATTCAAAATAAGTGCAATCTGATAAGATTAAATGATTAAATTAGATTAGCTAAGGTTGGATTAGATTCGATTTTATACATTCTAATGGGGAAAATGGCTGCCTTAAGGTTAAAGTTGTAGTCATGCTTGAAATATCCAGAAATGTTCTTAATCCTCACAATATGAAACCACTGCAAAACATGCATGGTGTTCCAAAAAAAAAGTTCTCAAACAAATGCTTCTGAAGAATACAGTGTCATGTATTTATTTGACCCAGTTCAAAGACCCAGCAGAGGTCAGTTTGATAGAATTTACTAGACGTCCAGGGGCATCTGGCAGCTTCACTAGGATGAAGACAGGTTGACCTTTTTTGCAGTTTAAATTTGAGTTGGAAAAGTTGTCTTTGTGAAGTGTCATGGGTCAAAAAGAACTTATTTGGATGAGCAGCAAGGTGAAAGGTTAAGATTCAGTATACTGTAAAAAAAACTCTAAAAGGTAGTAGAGAGTTACTCTGATCACAACATTGTCTTTCATTGTTACATACTTTAGTAGAAATGTTTTATATTTAATTTTACAACCAAATAAAATGCTGAAAAACAAATGCTGAAAAAAACTTGTCAAAAGTGCACAGAAGGATGATTTGAGTACAGTATTTTCATTAGAGAAAGTAGAGAAGTACAAAAGAAAACTGTGGGCAGTTTATTGATGTTTCTTCTGCTGAAATGCTGAAATGCAGAACTGCTGTTATGTGTGTGTTCTTAATGTCCAGCCAGACGACATAAACAATAAACAATTCACAAATATGTAATATGATCTCAAACTTGGCCAATGCAAAGAGGTTAAAGAGCCACATTTAGCTCAGGTGACACAGGCTGCAGACCTCAGGCCTAGGGGCTCAATTGTTGCACACTGTACTGTATACTGTATAAACTCAATTGCAGTATATGACCAGCAGATGGAGACAAAATGCAACACATACAAACCTGGTACCCGGCGTTGTTGCTGCCCTGCTTCATCACAAACCATCATTGTCGTCATCATCATTATGGTGTCTGAACAGTGAACACATCATGAATCATCAGTAAACGCCGGCCGTCGAACCTTAAACCTTCTGATCATACAAGCACTACTTACCGCATCGTATCCTGTGAATCGCTGCCAGTCTAGTTAACATTTGAAGTTGTTAGCGGGGCGTAACGGCCTTATTGTAGGTGTTGACATTAGCTTGGTTAAACTTGTAAACACTTTTGTAAAAGATGGCTGACAACGGAGCCCACCCGACAGAGGAGGACCCGGCAGCAGCTTTCCTGGCCCAACAGGAGTGTGAGATCGCGGGGATAGAGAACGACGGTGACGGTTTTGGAGGACTGGAAGACGCCGAAGAGGAGCCGGCGGCTCAGCCTCCGACGGCCCAGCCTCCGACGGCCCAGCCTCCGACGGCCCAGCCTCCGACGGCCCAGCCTCCGACGGCCCAGCCTCCGACGGCCCAGCCTCCGACGGCCCAGCCTCCGACGGCCCAGCCTCCGACGGCCAACTACGGTTGGTTTGTTTGGTTTGTATGATTATGCTAACGGAATAGCAAGCTAGCAGCGGAGCTAACTGGAGCTAAACTGAATTAAGACAATGTTGACAATGGAGCGTTTCCAGTTTGTTTAACAAAAACTGAGTCACTTTTTTGTCGATGTTAAACGTTTTAATCATTGAGTTTACTTCCAGTGTACGCCACATAACGTTAACTTAATGTTCGAGCTGTTTAGCTCAGTGTGTTCGCGGACAGTTGGTCTAAGCCCTACTCTACTCTACTCTACTCTACTCTACTCTAAGTGAACGTTTTAAATAATGTAAAACAGGTGTCATCAACTCGCCATTACATTACATTATAACATGTTGCTCAGTCTAGAAAAAGCTCTTATAGCAGCAGAGCTAACGTTCAACCTAAACCGGCCAATTATGTGCAATACAACGTTATTACACGTCAGTAGAACCATTCAGAGAAGCCATATAACAAAGACAGCTTGAGGCAAACATAGTTAAACTGTATATAAATGTGAATAAAGCCATAAAAAAAAGGAAACTATCCAAACATTAATTGAAGGTAGCTCAAGGTTAACCAAAACTAATTTTCGACTATCAACAAAAGTAGCCAAAAAGAAGCACAAAATCAGTTTAAACTGGACTTAAGCAAGAAACGTTGTATTCTAACACAAAGCAGAAAAATAAACTGGGGATACAGTTGTGGAGAGCACCATGGCTCCATAGAACCGACAGTAATCGGTTCCAAAAACTCAACCTGAGAAATCAAATGTAGTTGAGTTTACAAGTATGCGTAAGGTATAAACTAGGCTTCATGTCACTTGCTGTGTGTTTGCTTTTCACTGGAAAATCCAGTCCAGCCCAGTGACACAATCGCATGACAACATCAGTTGTCAAACAGGAGCTGCAGCATTTTTCTTAGGTCTTAAGGTTTGCTGGTAACGTTGAACTAAAGACACTGAGAAAGGTGTAAGAGAGAGAGGAGTTGAACCAGCAGATGGGTGAACTAAGCCTGTGTTAACATCCACGTTCTGTCTGTCTTTTCATTAAAATGTCAGACATATTTGGAGAGGAGCCCGCTACAGTGAATGGAGATCTGTACCAGGTATGCACCACATTTAACTAGAAATTATATTGTTCTGTAAATAATGATGGCATGAGTTTTGTTGAATTTACTCTCTCCATATCTATGATACTTTGCACGGTGTTCAATTTGAAATGTGAACTTTTATATTTTTCATATACGTATATTTTTTCATTCGTTTGTTGTGTTTGCTTTGTTCTTTATATAATGATAAATACAGATATGTTTTGATTTAAATACATAATTCTAAATATAGCAAATATTCTAAAAGCACTTTTTCTTTTTTGTTTTGCCTTTATCTTTGGTCCTCAGTTTAACAATATAGCTCAAAAATCAGTCTGTGAATTAATCAAATGTATTTTTATGTCCACAAGGAGTCCAATGGTCCGACAGACACCTACGCAGCCATCGCACAGGTGGATATTCAGAGACAAGAACCCGAGAGTTTACGTAAATGGAGGGAAGAGCAGAAGGAACGCCTTGAAGCATTAGGTGAGCAAAGATGGTTTTGACAGGAAATTTGGTACACAACATTCACTTGGTGGCGGTGTTGCTACTGCAATACATTTTTGAATTTTATTTTATTTTTTAAATTTTAGGTAAATTTCAAGTAAATGAGAGCTCTTGATGCTAATTTTATGTCAACTTTAGATGCATTTCAAGTAAATGAGAGCTCTTGATGCTCACCTGTAGTTATTGCAGCCAGTACTTCAGGTTAAATGCAGACCTTACTTTTACCTTTTCATTACTTTGAAAATATTTATATAATAATAATTATATATAATAATATTTAATATATTTATTTAACCAGCGTGAGTGATGCTAAAATAGACAGGCAGGAACAGAGGTGGGGGGAGGAGGGATACGGGGGAGATGACCGGAAAATCCCAGTGGAAAATAGTTTTTCTAAATACAGTAGGGGTGTGTGTTAGTACAATAAAATGAACCAACAGCATGAATATTTGCACGTTAATTTTCTCAGAACCCGAATAAACAGTAGTTCTTCTTCAGACACGGCGTCAAAGGTGGCGGAGGCCGAGTGGAGAGAGAAAGCCAAGAAGGAGCTGGAGGACTGGCATGTGCACCAGAGTGAGCAGATGGAGAAGAACAAGGCCAACAACAGGTTAGTGTGACACGGCCCCTGTTAGCGTCGCAGAGAAGGAACAGTTGGCCCGTCGTTACGATGTGACAAGGCCATGATCACTTCATTAGCGCCCCCCACCCAGCGCAGTAACTGTGTGCAGTATGACCAGTTGTTTGTACTGCACTTTTCAAGTCCCTTTTGTTCACGTCCTCTGCAGTCTCTCTCTCTCCTCATTATTCTCAGCAGGCTAACACAGTCTTCTCTCACACTTTCCAACAGACTCTGTCCAAGTCTGGCACGGTATCACTCTGCATCTGTGTTCATCTACTTTTTCCACTGTGTCTGTGAAAGAGCTGAGAGTCTGTTCCCTGACGGAGTCTTAGTGTAGAGTTTCCGTTTAACAAACGAATTGGACCTAAAGTCACAGTCAAAGTGTCTGTGATTCAGTTCAAATTTTTTTATTTCTCCCATCACTGGAACTGTCACTCAGACGCCGACTCAACCCTTTTGACACAAATTCTAACATTTTCTCTGCTCGTTGTTCTAATACTCAACTTGTTCTTCTTTTCTCCTCTTGATTTTCCTGCCTTCATGGCTTTGACTGACAACTAGGATTGCTGACAAGGCTTTCTACAAACAGCCCAACTCTGATGTTATAGGCTTTGTGTAGGTTCATGCTTTGTGTTTTTTAATGTCCTTTAATGTAAATAATTTATAATAATTTAAAGCATGTTCTAAGCAGGAAACCCTGAATCTCCCAATCCCCCATCCCCACCAATTGTATGACCAGTATAAAGAAAAGCATGAATGTGATCTTGGACGTTTTGCATGTGTGGAGCACAGACTGTTTGCTGTTCTTACGTTTTTAAAATTTAAATTTAAATTAATTTAATTTAAGGATTTCCTTTGACAAAAAAAGAAACATTTGAATGTCTGACCATACCAGCTTTATCAAAGAAGCTTATATTATTTTACTTTGTGGAATTATTTTCCAAATCCAAAAATATATCAAGATAAAAACCCAGACAGAGAAAGTGAGAACCAGGAGCTGATTCTCAAGAAGAACCAGAAGCTGGGATGTTTGGGGCAAAGAACTCTTAGGCTCAGGAGATATTTTTGACTTCTGTGATTTTTTTTTTCTTTTTTTGTCTACACATACAGAGTATCATAATGTGAGCTTCTTAAACAGAGCCAGCATGTTCAAAATATGGTTTTGTTTGTTTGTCTGTGTTTAACATTACCGTCTTGCTCTTTCTTCCACCCTTAATATGAACCGCAGAGCGTCAGAAGAAGCCTTCCTGGCGGACACCGACAACGACACCCCGGGGTCAGAATGGGAGAGAGTAGCCCGCCTGTGTGACTTCAACCCTAAAACCAACAAACAGGCGAAGGACGTTTCTCGAATGCGTTCAGTTCTCATCTCCCTCAAACAGGCGCCTCTGGTCCGCTAGAGGGCGCTCCGGTTGTGTTCTAGAACCGTTGCTTTTTTTTTTTTTGGTCGTAACTTCAGCAGACGTTTCACGTTAACTATTATAAATCCCACCAGACGCCTGGTGAAACTGAAATATGCCTCGCTCTAATGTTACACTTTGGCCTGCTTTATCAGTGCATCCTCAGCCACCGACGAATCAAAACAAAAATACTGTTACAGTAACTTGTACTCACTTCTCTTTTAACTTATCTACTTTTATTCAACAACCACTTTTTTTGCATGTCTCCTGAGTTTAATCGATTTCGTCCTGGTCAGTGGCTGGACCGCGCCGTGCTGTGTCGTCATAGTAAAGCTGTAACCAGCACTTTGTTTGTAATTGTTCTTATAATCATAATTAAGATTAGCATTTAAGCTTGTGGCCTTTTTATCCCCCTCTCACTACTGTTTGATTGTCTCTCACAGGGAATTTGTCTTAAAAAAAACCTCAAAATTTCTGCTATAGTTAATGATTTTCATGTGTTAACGGTCAGTGAAGTTTTTATGTTTTGTTCGTGTCTTTTCTTTAATTGCCAATGGGTAAGGTGTCAACTGAAGTGTCTGCACATTCTTTCACACGTTGCCTGTTTGGAAAAATTGAATCTTGAAAGTGAATGTTTAAAGAAGAAAAACCAAACCACCGCAGTGCGACCCTTTAATTTGTCTTTAAATATTTCCTGTCTTTTTACTGTCGCCGCTTTAAACACCGTAGACGTGAACACAGTCTAAATGACAGAGTCTCTTAACACACACACACAGTTATTTTAATCACAGGTGTTTGTTCCGTCTTTTGTCTCCTCGCCGAGTCGTTTTGTGTTCTGCCCACGCAAATGTCTGTGATTAAGGTAACTGTTCTCACAAAGGGCTGTTTTCCTTCTCCATTGATTCACTCTTTGATTATTGGTTACATTAGGATCTTAGAATTTAAGGTGGAGTCAGGACCGGGTTTGATTTCATCCAAAATCCTCTCATTTCATCCTGCAAACATTCAGCCTCTGCTTTTCTTTGTTTCAAATGAATGTCTAGCAAAAGGTGGGTTTTAATAAATTCATGTCCCAAAAATACTCTGGTGGGAGTTTATTTTTTTTAATTACACAACGCACAAGACATCACTTTTCTTAAAATGAAGTTCATGTACGAAAATAATGCGTCTTTTTACATGTTTTTAGTGACCGAGCCAGGAAAGCAAGAATTAGATTTTATAATTTAATAATTGAAACCAAGTCAAAACAGCGACTTGGTTTCAATGATTCCCTCTTTCTTCTGTGTTCAGTCAGGATCATTATATCATTAGATCATTATACTTTGTTCAAAATCAATTCAAAATCAACTATAAATGCACTGAGGAAAAAACTGTGTTCAGTCAGGATCATTATATCATTAGATCATTATACTTTGCATTTTTCACCTTCAAAATCAACTATAAATGCACTGAGGAAAAAAAAAAAAAAACTGATTCAATTAAATACATCACTCAGGTCAGTTTCAACTGGACCTTGTCCAAATAGTGCAGTGGTGAATTCTGTCCATGATGACTGACGTGTGGCACTAGTGTGTCTTCACTGCTTGGGTTTTAAAGATGAGGCAAAGATTCCAAAAATAATGGCAACCACAGTGAAGCCCTGGGCAGCGATACGGCCCCTCATCAGTAACTGGGACTGTTTGTTCTTTCCCAGGTGGAAGGCACGGAGGCCGTACAGCAGAGCCCCAGCCGTGGCCAAACAACCTGAGGGACAGATAGAGAGTTCGCGATGATACCAGGGGTATATAGGTGTAACGTCGCTGGTACAAACTGCTGATCTCCCTTTCCCTGCACACTGCAGTCAAGGCTCACATTGTTCTAGTTTGCCAGCTGCTTCTAAAGATGACCAGGTGAAAATGATCTGTTTATGTTGATTACATTTAAATACTCATACTTTTTTAATCACTATATGTGCCTTTTAAGCCACGTACGACACAATACGTTTATGGTCAATACTTAAATGTCAAAACTTCACCTCCACTGTGGACAGGAGTAAATCAACCTCATGTTCTATAAATAAATAGTGGTCAGCTCCAGTAAAGGCGGGTGTTTAAAATGTAAGCACACATTATGCTATATTAGTAAAGACGTCACACAAATTAATCGATCAACTTTGCGGAAAAAAAGTATTTGTAGATGTTAGCTTAATATGTAGCTTCTACTTCCGGTGGGTCACCTTAAGCCAACGGAAGTCACATACATAACAGATCTATGTTGTGTATTAGGTGAGTACTACATCGTCTTCAATGTTTTATTTCTTTTTTTTTAAACGTTATTTTTTAATAAATAATGACCTGTATTTAATGTTTACCGCTGAAACGAGAGTCCGTTTTTAAAGTTTCGATCGGAGTCAAAAGATGTTTTGGTTTTTTTTAACTGTTAATTATGACCCCAAAACTCAGCTAACCTCTCGATAAACACTTAAAAACCACCGGGTCAAAGGTCGTCCATTTTCTCACTTCCATAACAGTAGGGATGAGTGCTTGTCCTGAGTGTCCTGCCCACTTGGACCCCTGCCTGTCACTCACCTATAGGGACGAACGGGTTCTCTTTGGTTTTTCTGATGAACTTCTCCTTAAACGTCTCGGCTGTAGGCAGGGCGATTGGAATGAAGCCCGGTATGTGAGGAGGTTTGTCCAGATTTACAGGGAGATGAGGATTATTGCTGTGGTCGGGGACCGCCATACTGCTTTCCGCCTCTGTCCACAATCTGCTGTCGGAGAAGGTACAAACGTCACTTCCGTTAACGTTTCACAATAAAAGGCCGCTTGATCGGGACGCCTCTTTTTTTCTCATTCTATTTTTTATTTGCTTACTAATGTCCTCGTTCATAATACATTTAACGTATTGTACAAATTTACTGTGCGACGGAGAATTACTTCTTAAAAATATAACTATTATTATTCTCGCATTTTCTGCATGCAGACGTAGTATTTTAAGATGGTCTTTCTCTCACAATAAAAAAAAGTATTTAAAAGTATTAAAAAGTAAACATTTAAGCAGGTGGCTCTATAATAATTAAATGCAACTGCTTCAAGTTGTTTATGCCCTTAAATCAAAGGTTTATGAGTAAGCGGATGATCTGCTGTAACGACCACTAGAGGGAGCTGCTAACAGTTTTCTGTGTAAAGTTTTTTTTTTATTAGGCTGCTTTTGATGTTACTTTTAAATCAAATGTACAATAAAATTAAAGATTTGAATTACTCCCTTTACTAGTGTCCACTCACCTGCTATATAAACTGTTGTACTCCAGTATTTAGGTGCACATCTTCAAAGCTCCTGAATGTTGAGTTGGGAAATATTCAACTGCAAAAAAAACATTTTTAATGACCAGTATACACAGTACTTTTCAATCTTTTTATTGAATATTAAGGTAAATATTTCACATTAATACAGGCTACATAAAGTAGAGCCACTATACGACATGAAATTTACTCTCATTTTAACCCTTTTTAGTATGTAAACAATTATACATGTATTTACCACTCTAAAAGGTTCTGATTTCTCTTTCTCTTTAGGTAATCATCATCATCTAGTTTTTGGGCCGAGTTTAAATAGCTACTTCATTTTGAGCCCCTGCTGCCCAAGAACGGTGTATGTGGGTTTAAGTCAAAAAATCTCTAAACTACGCAGAGAACGGATTCTGTTGAACAAGTGAACGCGCACGTGTTAAATCGTCAGAACATGGATAACAGCTCTCCCCAATTTTCTTTCTCGTTGTCTGAGATAGGCACAAAGAATGGCGTTAGAACAACGGCCTAATCTTTCACCTCTGCGCTGCGCTCTTAGGTCTCTACTTGAGTTAACATGAATTCATTAATTCTTCTTTTTTTTTTTTATTTCTTCGCCTCAATCGGTCACATCCGTCTGTTGGTAAGTCATGTTTGCGCCCTCCCACCCCTGGGTCATGCGGTGCGTATTTGTTTGATGTGGACACTGTCTAGTTGACGTGGTTTAGGTGCACGTTGCCCACATGAGGTGCCCAGGTACCAGGCCACACCTGAAGGAGAGAGAGACACACAAGTCAAGAAATCTTAGTATTGTTCAACATGAATTTCAGAAAAAAAAAATCAGAGACCATTCAACAGTAAAGATGTAAAAAAAGAACCCATTTTTCACCTGCTGCTGTGGGTCAGAACTATCTGCACTGTTTGGGACCACTTTGATTATGGGGCTCCATGCGGGGTCACCAGCGTGCAAACCATTGTACATCGGTCCCCCTGGACCCTCTGCCATGGGAGGGTGAGGGGCCAGCATGGTTCCTCCATACATCGACATAGGCATCCCCTGCACAGGCAGAAACAAAGAGGCCAAAGGTAAAATCTGATGACGAAGCAAAGACAGAGGTCAAACAGGTCACACAGCTGTGAGGGGTTTTGTTACCTTTGGGAAGTCAATGTAACTGTTGGGCAGATGCTGAGGCTGGTGGTAGTTGTTGGCCGGGTTTGCAATGCCCGTGTCATCCTGCTCCATGGGCTGGTGCTGAGAGAAGGCCGACTGTTCCGCCTGCAGTTGGGGGTGCATCATGTGGCTGCTCATCAGGGGCTGGGACCAACCAGACATTGCTTCTGCATAAGCACAAACACCTGATGGGTTACGATGTCAGCAACAAAAACTATATTTCAAGTTCAAAGTTTTGCCTCAAATACTTCTCCTACCTGAAGCACTGCCAACCCCGAACGACCAAATCCCTCCCTGCCCAACAGACGCGGTGTAGCTGGTGGTGAGGAGAGGAGGGTTGATCGAACCCGTCTGCCTGATCCTGGCCAATCGCTCCGTGCCAATGGGTTGAGGAACCTTCCTGTCCTGCTGTGATGAGTTGCCTTGCTTAGGCTGAGGAGGAGGCGCCACGACTGAGGTGGAAAGGGCAGAAGACGACACTGTTGAGGGAGGAGGGACAGGAGATTCACCTGAGAGGGGAAAAAAAAAGTTATTAAAGAGTTAAAAGCAAATCAGTATCAAAGTAATTTAGTAATTTCTTATGAAAGAAAAGAAAGTTCATGACATGTTTTTCTAAGGTAAAAAATATCTAAAAAGTGAAGTACCTGATGTGGATGCACTCCATGGATGAGGGGAAAAGTGCTGTCTGCTGAAGGAGGGCGCGCCGACCGTGGTGTGACCGTGCAGGTACACAGGGCTGCCAGAGATACTGGTGGCGTAGCTGGTCAGTGCTGTGGATGAACAAGGACAAAGACCTCAAACGTTGGCTCTGAGTCCAAACGGACTTCAAACAAACTCCACTGACACTGACGATGTCAGCACACCAGACAGAAAAATGTCAAGTACCGATGGGACTGTTGACCATCCTCTGGGAGGCAGAGCGGTAACCAGGAGCTTTGGAGCTGTCTGGAGGAGGCGGGGGCATCATATTCTCAATCTGACCCATGCTCATGTAGGCGTGTGGGGCCGAGTACGACTGCTCCGGGGGTGAGCGAGCAGGCAGGTGGCATGCACCCCACACCTGATTGTTCCCAACCTATGGGCCAGAACATTTGATCATGTTTATTAACAGGACAAAAATGTCAAAACTAAATGATTAGAACAATAACTGACCGCTGAAACTACTTAACGTACCTGGTTGTTGTTATCGAAGATGCTGCTGAAGTTGAAGAGGCCTGCAGGGCCGAAGTTGGGCGGCATCTGCTGAGGCTTTCCTGCACTGGCCACATGCTGCATCTGAGAACCGTTCATCATGCCCAGGTTAGCGGAGACTTGAAGGGAGCCTTGAGCCTGAGTTTGCGCTTGTGGAGGCAAAGTGTTGGGCTGAGACGTCTGGTTTTGAGTCTGTTTTGGTGGTTCCTGGTGAGCGCTGAAGGGAACAAACACAGATGAGGCGCCACGACTGAGGTGGAAAGGGCAGAAGACGACACTGTTGAGGGAGGAGGGACAGGAGATTCACCTGAGAGGGAAAAAAAAAGTTATTAAAGAGTTAAAAGCAAATCAGTATCAAAGTAATTTAGTAATTTCTTATGAAAGAAAAGAAAGTTCATGACATGTTTTTCTAAGGTAAAAAATATCTAAAAAGTGAAGTACCTGATGTGGATGCACTCCATGGATGAGGGGAAAAGTGCTGTCTGCTGAAGGAGGGCGCGCCGACCGTGGTGTGACCGTGCAGGTACACAGGGCTGCCAGAGATACTGGTGGCGTAGCTGGTCAGTGCTGTGGATGAACAAGGACAAAGACCTCAAACGTTGGCTCTGAGTCCAAACGGACTTCAAACAAACTCCACTGACACTAACGATGTCAGCACACCAGACAGAAAAATGTCAAGTACCGATGGGACTGTTGACCATCCTCTGGGAGGCAGAGCGGTAACCAGGAGCTTTGGAGCTGTCTGGAGGAGGCGGGGGCATCATATTCTCAATCTGACCCATGCTCATGTAGGCGTGTGGGGCCGAGTACGACTGCTCCGGGGGTGAGCGAGCAGGCAGGTGGCATGCACCCCACACCTGATTGTTCCCAACCTATGGGCCAGAACATTTGATCATGTTTATTAACAGGACAAAAATGTCAAAACTAAATGATTAGAACAATAACTGACCGCTGAAACTACTTAACGTACCTGGTTGTTGTTATCGAAGATGCTGCTGAAGTTGAAGAGGCCTGCAGGGCCGAAGTTGGGCGGCATCTGCTGAGGCTTTCCTGCACTGGCCACATGCTGCATCTGAGAACCGTTCATCATGCCCAGGTTAGCGGAGACTTGAAGGGAGCCTTGAGCCTGAGTTTGCGCTTGTGGAGGCAAAGTGTTGGGCTGAGACGTCTGGTTTTGAGTCTGTTTTGGTGGTTCCTGGTGAGCGCTGAAGGGAACAAACACAGATTGCTGCTGCTGCTGCGTCGTCGTCTGCTGCTGCTGCTGCTGCTGCTGTTGTTCAGGAACAGAATAGTAAGGCCCTGTTGGCTGCATACGATGGGAGACTCTTGGCGCTGGGGCTGAGAAATGGGGTACCGTGTTGCTGGGGTGTGCGACGTTGTGTGACAGGACAGGCGGTGGAGCTGATGGGAGGTGGGAGCTGGTCTGCGCGACAAGGAGGGGGAGCGGGGTCTCTGTAGATGCTACACAGGTGGGAGGGGCAGGTAAATGTTGTCGAGGCTCCGACTTTGGAGGTAAAGCCAAGGCAGAGGCGGAGTAGCCCAGAGAGTTGATGTTCTCACCGACTGGACCAGGCTGGTTCTCTACGGGGAGAGAAGTCTTCTCTTTTCCAGGAAGTGCAACAGCATTTGGCTCTGTTTTAGGCGGCTGGATGTGTGGCTGCGAGATAGGTCCAATCGGCTGCTGAGAGGTGTTTGCGGTTGCTGTAGTGGAGCTGTGATGCGCGGGAGAACCCGTGCCTCGTGCTGCGTTAGCAGCTGCGGTAGCAGCCGCGGACACGGAGGTGACACCGGCGGGCTTGGGGTCAGGGGCGAAAAGCTGTTTCCTGACGGAGGAAGGCGTGGGGATACTTGGCTGGGGGATGTAAGGTGTGGGGTTGGGTGTATGAGGGGAAGCTGCAGCCGTGGATGTGTGGGGCGCACTGGTGGTGGCGGTGTTGGTGGTCGTCACTGGAGCTGATGAGCTGGCTGCTGGGCTGTGATCACTGTGAGTTGAGTTGGGTCTGGCCTGACCAGCGCTGCTGCTTCCTCCGTTGTGTTTGGGGGAGCTGTTAGCACTGCCGGGACTCACAGGGCGCACGGGGAAGGGTCCCCATGTGCTGGCAGCAGGAGAGAAGGTACCACCAAACTGAGCCATGGGCAAACGTGGGTGTCTGATCTGGTGCATGGTCTGAGCAGCGAGAAGAGCGAGCTGAGGGTGGGCGTATGCCAGCGGCAAAGACACAGGGAAAGGCTGTCTGACATTTGACGACAGGCCCTTCCCGAGCTTTCCAGCCTGAGAGGATGATGACGATGAAGATGAGGAGGGCTGAAACGAGACGCCTGAGGAGGTGACTAGCGAGCTGAGGGCTTTCGGGCCGGTGGATGAACCGCTGGTGGTCCCCGCGGTACTCGAGAAGGCTGTAGAGGACGCTTTAGGGCCCGGAGCTCTGATGTGATTCCTTGGGATTAGATCTTCAAGCTCTTTGGCTGGGTCTTGGATTAGGGCGTTGATCAGCTGGACTGCATATCTTGTCGACTCCGTTCCTCCTCTGAGAAACAAAAGGTTCAGATTTTAATTTCTGCTTTGATCACCTTTAATGTGCAAATAAGAAGGCAAAAAATAGCTGCTCCTTAAATAATAAGTCCTCATAAATATGTGACATTATATGATACAGATTTACCATTACAAAGATCGTGTTATCAATAATAGTGTGTTGAAGGGTCTTGAATATGTCTACAAATGTATTTATGGATGATACATAAGTGCTGGCACACACCACAAATACATTTAGCGCTGAGCTGCACTAGGGTGCACAGCCCACCAGAGGGAGACAATATTACCTGATAGTGATCATCCTCTCTCCGTTCTTGTCCTTCTGTTTGTCCACGTCGATGTGAGCTCCCGTCACGTCCTGGATGGCTGTGATGTTGCAGCCCCCCCGGCCCATGATTCGAGAAACAACAGAGGCAGGCACCGACAACTTCTTTGATCTTAAAAAGAAACAGAGTAAGGGGCAACGATTATTTCTCTCCTAACACCTGGCATTTGAAATTATTTTTTTATAGGCCATCACCATTTTTTAGGTAGGTACAAAAAAAACAAAACAAAACTAACCTTCTGACCACCTCCTTCCAACCTTCTTCTCTCTTCTGGCCTCTCTTTGGACTTGTGAGGCTGAGCTTACTGTTGGGTGAAGTGACAGGTAGAGCCATGGTCTTGAATGGTGAGGGCAAGGAGTTGGAGGTGGAGGAGTCGTTTGTGTCTGGAGCTCTGTGACAACGTACACAAACAGGGGTCAGCGTTAAAGTAAAAAGAAAAACCTCAATTTGAAATATATTCAGAGGGAGAAAGTAAGAAGAGAAACTGAAGTTCGTCTGGACACAGGCATTAGCTCAACACCTGAAGAGCCATTTGTAGCATTTTTAACGCTAAATAAAAATTCACAAAGGGACACATCAACATTTCAACCAATTAAATTAGTGCAGTGTACAAAGTTTTAAATACTGCAGTTATATTACAAAATTATAATGAAGTACACAAAGAATGCAATTGCTTAAACGCAGCTTCCTACTGTGCTGCTTAGAAATTCATAACTGACCAAAGTTTAAGCTGCAAATTATGTTGTTTTGTAGGCAACAATCAGAAAATAAAGCACACTATGGTACACTATCAGACAGTCACAGATGAGTTCTACTCCTATCCACTGAGATACTGGCTGGTTGGATGGGACGTATTAATTATTCATCTCTTGTTTGAAAAGTAGGTCAGGCTGAATTTGGTCCATTCACAAATAAGTCATCCTATATGGAGCCACAAAAGGACTGAGGAGCCACAGGTTGAAGACCCCCGTGCGTCACCCCTTGTGTAAGATGACAACTGATCACTCACCTCTGCATTGGCTTTGAGATGGAGACTGTGACCTTGTTGTCCAGTTTGTCACTCTGTGGCTGAGGACAGTGTCTCTTTTCGGGACCATGCAGGATGGTTTGGGCCGCTCCTGAAGAGGGCACCGAGGAGGAGGATGAGGAAGAAGAGGAGGAGGAAGAGGACGCGGATGAGCTGAGATCAGGGAGATAGTTGAGCTCTTGACTTTTGCCCCCACTGCTACTGCTCTCACTGGCACAGTCGGTGCTGTCCAAGGGGTCAGAGTCGCTGTTACCGCCCGCTGCTCCCCCGCCACCGCCCCGGGGCTCGCCGTGGATCTTGTTCTTGTCAGCTTTGTGTTGTGCTAGTGCAACCTTAAAAGATAGTAAATAAAATTAAGCCCAATACAATCCAAACGCATGGCTAAAAAAAGTGGTAACGCCTGTCGAAATGCTCACCTGCGGATCCTGTAATATGATTGGTTCGTTGGGCGAGTCCTTCGTCTTGTTCTTTTTGTTTTTGCGATTGGTGCTCGGGGTGGTGGCCACACTAGCTCTCTTCTTACCAAAAGCTGTGGTGAAGGTGGTGGAGGTGGCAGATATCCCAATGGTGGTGGTGGTGGTTGCACTGGGAGGCTCGATGGGAACTTCTGCTTCTACGTTGGGTAAAGGTGAAACAGTAGAGGTCACCACAACTAACATTACTGCAGCACAAATGTGGATTCAATTTTAATTTTTTTTTTTTTTTTTTAGAAAACCCATAGAAGGCAAACCTTCAGCTGAATCCTCCTTCTGCTCCTGCATTTCGGACGAGTCCTCCTTGACTTTCTGTCCCTCCTCTTCCTCTTGCTTTCTCTTCTGCTCCTCCTTCTTCTTCTTGCGTTTCTCCTTGCGCTTCTCCCGCTTGGCAGCCAAGGCCTGCTTCTTGCTCTCCTCTCGTGACTGAGGAGTACACCAAAAAAAAAAACAACAACTTAAATTCATGCCGTAAATTCACAGTCGTTTTACTTTTAAAGTTACAATATTTTTCTTTACATTACCTTCTCCAAGTCCAGCTCCTTCAGGAGGATGCTTGCGTTCTTGTTGGCCTCAGCTGCCTGCTGGTCTTTGGCTTTGACGATGGTCTCCATGCACTGGTGGCACTTCTTCAACAGCTCCTAAAAAGAAACAAAACAGAGTTATAGCTCTGCTATGACAAATAAAGTAGACAAATAAATCCTGACACTGAGCACCAGAGCACCAGAAAGAAAAAAAAACACCACCTACCTTATCTGCAATCGTGGCGATGTACCTCATACACTCGACATCTGATGGGAACTGGTTGACTTCCTTCACAAGATATTGCACAACCTTCACGTGACCCTAAAGTGGAGAATTCAAAGGTAAGTCAGAAGAGAGTAGCAGCAAGAAACCACAACAAGCTGAGACTCGGGGAAACCCTGCACCTTTCGGAACGCAGCCATGAGTGGTGTAATCTTGCGGTTGTCTGCTGCGTCCACGTCGGCGCTGGCGTGCACCAGGAGCTGGACCACGTCGAAATGACCGCCATTTCCCGCCAACCACAAAGGAGTGTTCCCTTTCTTGTTTCGTACGTCAATATGGGCCCCCCTGCAAAAACAAGACAAGTCAGAAACAGATACAGCTGAACAGGCGGTGAGGCTGAAAGTATATTTGGTAGAAACTGGGACTTAATTGAAATAATTTGTCAACTGGAACATGCAGGGGAGGTTTTCTACCTGTTGATGAGCAGTTCGCAAAACTTGTAGTGGCCCTTGTCAGCAGCAATGGTGAGCGCTGTGTCTCGAGATGAGGGAACGGGTGGAGCATTGACATCAGCGCCTTTATCCAGAAGCACTCGACCCACCTCTGCATAGCCTCCTGAAGCTGCCTCCATCAAAGGAGTAAGACCGGTCTGTACGAGGTGAAGGAGGAAAAGAGATCAGATAAGCAGCAGCTAAAACACTACAAACACAACTATCTTGTCGGAATGTATCATTTGGGCAAGAAAATTATAATTTCAGGCGATATAATAAGATCTCAAAGAACATCCTGTCACCTTAGCACGATGCTCGACGTTGGCTTTGCGGTCTAGCAGCAGACTGACGACCTCAGCCCGTCCCTGGAAGCAGGCTAAGGTCAGGGCTGTGTTTCTGTTTGTTTCAATTTGGGCGTTGATGTCTGAACCCATGTCCAGCAGAAGCTTCACTGCCGGTACATGACCGTTCATGGCTGCTAGCATCAACGGAGAGATTCCCAGCTTACTGCCAGTTCTGGAGAAGAAGTGACATAACAAGAATTATTATTTTCTTTGTATGAATCATGTCACCTCTGAAAACAGTCTTATTTGTAGCAAATATTTAGCAGTGTGTATATATATATATGTATAAAGCAATCTAAACAATGGACAAAATTAATTCTCAAGAATGAACCTGTCACCTATACTCTGGGCTAAATTAACCCATAATAATCGCTGTACCTGGAGTTAATCTCAGCACCCGCGTTGAGGAGGATTTTGATGATGTTGACGTAACCCCCAGAAGCAGCCAGGCTCAAAGGCGTGTAGTCGGAAACATTGCGGTGTTCTTTATTGGCTCCCCGAAGTAGCAGCAACTCAACAACCTGCAAATACAACAAGCCAACAGTTAAAGCACAAATAACAAAGCAACAGTTATATAAGTGAAGACAAACCAAAAAAAAAAACTCTGTCACCTCTTGGCGTCCCCCGGAACAAGCCAGAGAGAGAGGTGTGTCTTTGGTTCTCTCCGACTGGGCCTCAATGTCTCCCCCTTTGTCCAGCAGCACTTCAACCACTCCTACGTGACCAGCAGTGGCAGCCAGGATCAGAGGTGTAAAACCTGTGGAGGGCAGATCATTTGTTATTATTTTTATATCTAGAAGTCGACTGTATTATACCAATATGCCGGAATACTCTCATTTTCAATTAATTGATAAAAAAAAATAAAAAAATAAAAAAAGCCATTACCATAAACTAATCATCAATTCCTACACTTTCGTACCTTTTTTGTCCCTGTGCTCGATGTTTGCTCCCCGTGCAATTAGAACAGAGACCAGTTCCTCATGTCCGCCTGCACATGCCAGTGTCAGCGCTGTATCATGGTTGCTTTCCGTCTGTGTGGAACAATCACATTCCTCAGCATGTTAAAGGACTTTGTGTATTACTAATGTTCACTTTCTGAAAGTCTCTGTGTGATACAAAATGTCTTACATGTGCATCGATGTCAACGGCAGGATAGAGAGGCAGGACTGAAGGTGGGGAGGCCATGTTTGCAGGCGTCTGTGTGGGTGGCTGGGACAGCGGGGTAGGTGAGGTCGTAGTGTTCAACATAGGAACGCGGTTGCTCACTGCTGCGATGAAATTTATTTATTAGTAAAAACTGGACACTCTGGGGGGAAAGAAAACATCTGGAAAAAGTGGTGGAAACACGCCTACCTGCCATGATGTCATCAAGCGTGTCTGTGAGCGTCTGTGCGGGTGTTGCTACCATCAGGCCATCTGGGGCCTGCTGGGGTATCATCCCCGGTCCTAACCCTGCTAACTGTGGTCCCTGGCCAGGTTGCTGCCCCAGCATCTGTTGCCCTACCAGTACTCTCTGCAGCTCTGGGCTGGTGCTTCCTGCATAGTCTGCAGGGTTGTAGTCCGGCAGGGGCTGGATGGGGACGAAGGCAGACTGAAGAGGTGGAGGAGGAGGCTGGGGCTGAGCCTGTGGAGAAGGGGGCAGAGGAGGCTGCTGCGGCAACTGTGGTCCATCCCTGTAGAGGATCGAACCCACCTGAGGAAGCTTGGGGTAGTCTTCTTCTTCCCCATCTGCCTCTTCCTCTGAACACTCTTCTTCATCATCATCATCCTCTTCCTCTTCCTATAAAAAGTCCCAAAGAACAAAACAAACAGACTCGGTCAAAATTCTGTTAAGAGTCATTGGCTAACATTCATACAGATCAAACAGTCTGTGAACTTCACCTCTTCTCCATTCTCCCCTGGATGCTCTTCCTGCTCGTCATCTTTGTTTGCCTCTTCGTCTGTGTCGGAGCTTGAGTGTAGGTGTGGACCTGATGCACAAGGTGGATGGTCCAGTACAGGTGTTGTACTCCCGGGACCCGGGCCCTGACTCACAACGCCCTCTTGTTCATCTTTTAAGCCCTTTGCCTCCATGTACTCTTTGGTGAACTGTTGCTGTGTTTTCAGCTGTAGCTGGCGCTCTACCTTCTGCAACTCCTTCAAGATTTTCTTCTTCTTCTGCACCTAATTGGCAGTGACATGGTTGCCTTCATTGGTGACTGATTTTTTTTTTTTTTTTTTTTTTTTTTTGTAATGTTACATTCACAATCAAGAGGATGACCATACCTGCTCCTCCCGGCTCTTCTTCAGTTCCTCAATCTTGTCTTTGGTGAGTGGCTCCCCCTGAATGAGCTCCAGGGACTGAAGCTGAGCCTTTTCGATGGCGCTGATTCTCTGGCCAAGCTCGTTCAGCTTGCCCTCCGTCTCCTCCACAATGCACTCAAGCGGTTGGCATAAGTGAAAGGGCGGTAGGGGCTCTGCTTCAGGCCCTCGACTGACTGAGGCGGGGCTGCCAGGCTGTAGGGACGCTTGTCTCTGTTTGGACATGCCTGGATCGAAAAGAGCAATAAGGTTAAATGGGTATTTACTTACAGAAAGAGCATATTTTTTAATTCTCTTACAGGGTGACATGTAGCATCGTTTACCTTTACTGGAGATGGGCGAGGGTGTGGTAATATTTGACGGCGCTCTGTCGGGCTCTTGAGGGGGCACTACCATGGCGAGAGCTTGGATTGGGACACGAGGAACCTGTTTGAAAGTAGGAAAGCATTTGCTTGAGCAACATTGAAAAAAAACCAAAACAAAACAAATGTCTGATATTAAATAAAATGTTGTTGTGTAGGCACAGTCACCTGAGAAGGATCTTGTGAGGGGGGCGTGAGCTGGGACAGGTCAGGTGCTGGGACAGACAGGATGTTGTTGGGATAGTCCAACAAATAGGACACCACATTGGTGTGGCCACCCTTAGCAGCTTCTATCAACATGGTTGAACCATCCTACAAAAAAAACCCCAAACATGATTTAGTACAATACATTTGTATCGCAAATACAGAACATAAAAACTGTCAGTGGTCTGAGCATTACTTTGAGTCTGTGCGTCGGATCTGCCCCATGAGCTAGCAGCAACTCCACCACGGCCAGATGTCCTCCAGCACACGCTAGAGACACCACTGTGTGGTCGTTGTTAGCGGTAGCTCTGTTCACGTTAGCACCTGTGCAGAACAAAGAAATTCACCAGCGTTAATTACTATAGGTGATTTGGCGGCCAGACAACGGCAGTAACAACACTCTTCATTTTATTTTCGAAGCTGCTACACACATTAGACACTAGACATTAGCACAGATAAGATATTGTGAACTAGGTACTGGAGTAGGTGGGAATTATTGAGGTGAACATGCTTAATAAAACATTACTGAAGGCAGCCAATAAAAAAGAAGCATGTCTTATCTGTCCGTGGTGCATTGCATCTGACTCTGATCAGGAGTATAAACACATTTAATTTTTGTAAAAGCATTTTGAAATGATCTGACGTTACACTTATATATTAGCTAGTGTCTCTTGTCTATGATACGGTAAAATAGATTGTAACAAAAAAAAAGTTTACTCAACAGGTGTTCTTGTATTGGATTTGTAAAAAAAAATTTTACTCAACAGGTGTTCTTGTATTGGACATTTTTAAGCCTAATATGAGACCAGACATACATTGGTTTAAGGGAAAACTCTTTACAGACCTTTACTGATCAGAAACTGCACGGTACACAGGTGTCCCGCCCTTGCTGCCTTCATTAAGGGTGTGCGCCCTCCTTCAGACTCATGCTCCTTCAAGACAAGGATTAAGAAAATAAATAGAGTATTCTGACAAATATTCAATCCATTGTAGACTGTTCTACTTCGACACAGGAAAAAAAAGAACATCTGTTTAGTTTCTCTGAGTGTAGACTGTTCTACTTCGACACAGAAAAAAAAGAACATCTGTTTAGTTTCTGACTCATTAAATGGAAGAAATAAGCAATCACGAGTGACACAGAGGAGACGCCTTACCAAGTTGGCTCCAGCCTGCAGCAGCACATCAGCGACATCAGTGTGTCCGTTCTCACACGCGTACGTCAACGCTGTGTCACCTGTTGCTGTAGTGGCATGAACGTTTGCCCCTGATGGAAATATTGTAGATACAGATATATCACTTTCGGAGTCTCATCTATCCACCTCACATATTTATGCCCATTTCTTTTGCATACCAGCAGCCAATAGGTACTTGACCAACTCCAAATGGCCTTCCTGTGCAGCCTCCATTAAAGGAGTCGAGCAGCCGAGCTCAATATCTGCCCCAGCCTTGATGAGGAAGTCTGCTACTTCCAAGAAGCCCCCGCAGCAAGCTAGAGTCAAAGCTGTCTCCTGGGTTTCCTCCGTCTGAGCATTGATGTTGGCACCTGAACAACATGACCAAAAATGGAAGGGCCAGTGAAGTTCTGAAAACAGGTTAAGCTATCAACAACTACCACATTATTTGACTGATATGAAGAGGGAAACAGAGGAGGGTTGTTTACAAAAAATGAAGCCCGAAATACACAAAACATCCTTACCTTGAGCCAGTAACAATGCTACCATCTCTTCGTGGCCTTCTCTAGCTGCTTCCATCAAGGGAGTGTAGCCCTCATCATTAACCTGGAGACAAGCAGCAGCGGAAAACCATAACGTTAAAACTAGCATCACTCTGCACTCTCTACTACAGACTGGGCAAAATGGTACATTTATAGCACTAAATAAATTCCATGTTTGTAGACAGAAAAACATGAAATAATTTGTTGCTATTATTTGACAGTGCCCTTACTACGTACCTCTTCCAAATTGGCTCCTCTCTCTATGAGCAGGGCTGCCAGCTCCACATGTCCCCCGCAGGCTGCAAGGGTCAGGGGCGACTCAAAGGAATCAGCTGGCATGTTGACCTGAGCACCGCTGTCCAACAGCAGCCGCGCAACCTCCACATGGCCGTCCTGGGACAGCGTGACAGACAAAGAATGTGTAGATAAGCACATGAACACAAACATAATTTCAACCATTAAAAAAAATACATGACTTAAAAAAAAGCAGCAGCTCGCATTTTGTAGAACATTCTCACATAAACAACTAAATTTTATCCCAACATAAACATACGCAAGTATGACCTGTACCTCCAAGTTTGCATCTTTAAAGATTTTTTTATATAGTGTAGTCTATGGTCTATAGTATAGTCCAGCTTGTTCTTGAAATAAAAAAAATAAAAGAAATTTCATGAATTCACAGGTGCTGTTGTGGTTTGGGTCAGATGCTCACCATGCACGCCTCCATCAGTGCTGTGTGCATCTCATCTGTTTTATGTTCCTGGTCCGCTCCAGCCTCTAACAGAAACCGCACCATGTCTAAGTGACCTGCAGCGGACGAAGACAAAAAGCATTAGAAACAGACAGAATTTAGGGGGGAAAAATGCCAATCCAGGAAACTCTGACCTTTATAGCACGCAAGTGTGAGAGCGCTCTCTTTAAACTCATTGGAGTGTGTGTTGATGCCTGCGCCATACTCCAACAGTACTCTGGCCACCTCCACGTGGCCAGCGCTGGCTGCCTCCATTAGAGGCGTGTGTCCATTCTCATTGTGGTCCTCAATATTAGCACCCTCTTTGAGCAGCACTTTCACCACATCCACAAACCCACCAGCGCATGCGTACGTCAGAGCTGTGTTGCCTGGAAAGAGAAAGAGAAATTAATCAGACTGCAAAACAGTTTGAATACGTCAACAAGTCAAAAGTAGGATTTTTTTTTTTTTACCTGTGGAGGATTGTGCGTTTACATCTGCTCCGTGGACTAAAAGGAGTTTGACAATGTCCACATAACCTCCACTGGCTGCAGCCATGAGTGGCGTTATGTCTCCTTTAATGCCCCTGTCCTCCACGTTGGCATGCATGGCCAACAAAACCTTTGGAAAAGTAATACAATTTTAAATAAACAAAAACAAAAGCGTTTTATTGATGGTAAACAAATCCTCATCTTCAATTTTCTCATATTAATAGTGTGTCAGATATTCCAAACAGGAGACTAATGTGAAAGACAGACACACAATGTCTGTGAAGACAGACTTTTGTAATTTGTACAGAATGAGGTGTGGCAGTTTACTGCTGAGACTCTGTATTGTTCATGTCTCATATTTGAATGGCACATTCAAATATAAATACAATTCCTCTTTGCCGTGCTGCAGTAACCTCCCATTACCACTATAGAATTTCTGGTCTGGATGGTCTAAAAGATCATTTTTAATTACTCTATATTGTGTCTTCTTTCAAGTTTTAATTATAAGCATCTCATCCAAACATCATGGACATCTTATTCCAAAAAGGGAGTGCACTAAATCATGCAGACTTGGGGATTTGTACACACCTGTGCAAGTTCATAGTAGCCAGCTGAGCAGGCCAGGCAGAGGAGACTTTCTCCTTCCTCTGTGTGTTCGTTGACGCTGCGTCCCTCGTCCAACAATTTGCGCACGGCGTTGACATCGCCATCTGAGCACGCCTCCGCTAAACTACGGCTGAAAATAACCAAACTGCTACAATTACTGCCACTGTGACAGGTCAACATACATATGCCCTACATTTATATAATCAGTTCGGAGGAGTACATTTACGAGTCATGCAAATGTGTGTACTGTACACGGGAGAGGGCCTGAATAAACTGATTATTGTGCTGAATATAAATGAATCTCACAGACCGTGTCACTGTTTACAAGACAGACCAGTGTACTGTGTGCCAGTGTCAGTACGGGCAAGATACATACTTGTCGGCTTGGCCGGCGTTGAGTGTGTTTTCTGCTCTCATTCGTGTCAGGGCTGCTGCAGCCTCATCCAGGGCACAGCTCACAGATGACGTCAGTCGCCGCAGCACCTCGGGGTCTGCAAAAGCTTTACCATCGGCAGTGGACAGTTTACCAATGCCTACCGGACACCAAAAAGGCAGAGGTGCAAGGGCAAGGCAAACCACAGGGCAGCACAATCACACCAGACCAGATGAAGAAGCAAGTCCAGTCCAGCCAATCCAAATCCAAAGTTAGTAGCAGCATACACAAAGAAGAAAAAGAAAAAAAACAAAAACAATAATCACACACAGAAACAGAAATCACACACAAGCACTTGTTAATGTGGCTCAAAATATTTCTTCACTACTTTCAATACACCATCTATGATTCTCGTTTCCTTTGTTTTGTTGCCAATGACTGGGTAAAACTTTAATGATAATATGGACAATATTCACAGGGCATCAGTTGGACCTGTGAAACGAGAGCAAATACAGTTTGGGGGTAATGTTAGTTCAGATTTGGAGTAGACATGGATCATATCTGGTAATGATAGGAGGAGAAAAAAGTTGCTGTGTGAATTATAGATGGGTAAAAGGCAGTGAACGTGAGAGGAACAGAAGCTGGAGAGAGTGGTCAGCGTGGAATAGAAGCACAGCTGGGAAAAACAAAATGCCACTCACGAAAAAAATAGGTTTGTGTGTTTGTCATGGAGAGGAAAAGAAAGCCAAAAGTGGGGAATAAAATTAAAGAACGAGCAGGAGGAAAAACAATCTTTTGCTACCGTTTCCTACAAAAACAGAATAGAAAAACCCAGTGTCTGTGTACGTGTGGTTACAATGTTTACAGACCCAGGGGGAAAAAAGAAAGAGCTTAGGCCAGAATGTGTTAGATTTGACCTTTTCAGCCTCAGCTTTAACCCATACATGAGCCAGGTAAACGAGAACTCCGGTACTCGTAATTCTCCTCTGTGTTTCTGCCACAGGGCCTATGACGCACATTAAACTTTGTATGGATCTCAAGATGAGAATTTCACAATACTCCTTATGGCAGAAGAAAACAAGAAAGGTGATCATTAATCTTTTACTGTAACACATTTGTCAGAGAAAAACCATGAAGCTGACTCAAACAAAAGCAGATTGGAGAGACCTTGGGGGAGACAAGGGGATCCAAGCATTATAACAACCTCTTTGCCAACAGATACATTTAAAAAAAGAAACAATATTCTAGAGTCAAACTATGATCAACACCCATGAGCTTCACTTTTTCTTTAAAGTACAGTATAAATGATCATAAACCGGACCTGAACATTTTAGTAAGTTGATGACGCTGAACTTAGTGGTGGACATTCTTCTGTGTTTAAAGTGAAACTCAGTGGAAAGTTACTGAGGGGGCAACACCCACTACATCAACAATGCTATTTAAGTAAACACTTTGATCTAAGCTGCCAATTAAAGTCTCAATTGTCATTTGTTTGAGACCTTGAGCTGATGCAGAACTAAAAGTTAGGGTTAGGGCCTATAAATACTGTGCATTTAGAGACAGTCATTTCTCTTGTTTTATGCTTCACCTACAAAACTGCACTCGATTCAGATTCTCATAAACATTCATATTTGCTATCATATTTTTTTTAATTGCCTAGCAGGAGTGGGATTAGGGTCTTCATGGACAGAAGCAGTGCAGTACAGTGTCCTCTGGAAGAACCTTGACCAAGGGCAACAGGGAACTGTGGAAAAGTTCGTGGGCATTCTGGCAATCCCAGTTGCAATGAGACTGCTGTGAAGAAGGGAATGAAAAACCCACTTCGATTTTTTTCTGATGCAGAAAACTGGAAACACCAAATTATGGCATGACCTCAACGCCCAAGTTTACATATATGGCATTCTGAAGAAGATTTTTAAGCGTATAAATATACAATATATTAGCACTCTAGAGTATCTTGGTAATTATTTCCAAAATTCATCAGATTGAAGCAACTCTAGACCTATCAGCAATGACCCAAGTCCAGCAACTCTTTAAAGCAAAATTATGAGTTATAGTTTTTCATGTCTTTCTTGACAAATTTCCAAAGTGTGCAACGTGTATAACATATTTAGGAATGTTGAATATTCCTTGGTAATTGTCTGGAATAATGGCATCAAAATAATTGTTAATAAAATCTGAAAATAAACAATTAAAAGAACAACTTAATGAAAATATATTTTAGTACGGAGGACAGGGATGTCAGATCCTTCGAAAAGTAGAGTATCCTCAGTGTTTACCCATCAGCACTGGTGCTTGCACAACTCCAACAACACTGTTTACACAAAAACATGATCTTTTAGTGTGGGAGAAGAAAATCCAGTGAGGGGATATATGTTATATTCAAACACGTCGCATCCAAATTTGAATGGCATTTACATATAAAATAGTACAATCTACAGAAGAAGCATGCATGAAACAAGGATGCTTTAACAGGAAACTAAGGCGTTAGCTGATACTAAGAAAAATACTCCCAGAAAAATGATTTACTTGGTTAACCTCTGTCATAGAGTGACATCAACAACCCTGCATTTAACTTCTAATCAAACGTATGCAGCCCACCTTTCTAAAGAGCTACTATTCTATTAACTGTGAATAAAGGACCTTTAAGCAGAATACAGTAACTGATGTTATTTCTAGCCTGACTTCCTGGTCCGCAGCTGTCTGGACCCATGGCAGACATGTTCACCGAGGCCACAGACTGACATGAGGTAGTGGAACAACTACGCTACAGAAGAGTAGTCACTCTGCTGCAACTTCTGGATACCAAAATATTACGGGAAGTACGGTGACCAAAAACAACTACTGCACTTTTTGGTGTCTTTGTGAAAGAAAATGTTGTTCTACCTTTTACCTAAAAAATTGAAAGTTTGGAGGCATTTGCATTTGCTTGGTTACAAGTAAATAAATGTACCATTAGGTACAGAGCAATATGGTGGTTTAAGAAAAATGAAAAAGCCTGGAACTGTGAGTGCTCAACAATGTAACAGGTAGGAATATATCTTCAATATACATCTTCATTAATCTTCAACAGATGTCGTTATATAAAATGACCTTTGCTGTTACAGATACACCATGACAGCATGCAGTGGTGGTCTGATTGAAGAGCAACAAAGGTATTCAGAAGGAAAAAAACAATTCCTCTGTTCCCCCACGGGGCATTTGTCTTGATTCAAAGTTTGTTTCATGTAAACACTGCCAGTGGACTTCTTAACATGTATGCATATCTACAGATGCAGTAAGGAAATTAAGTGAAAATAGCAATGTCAGTCACATGTTCATGTTCATTTTTAGAATATGCCAATATTAGTTTTTTTAAACGTAAACTTCAAAATAAATTAGAGGAAAACAAAGGGTGTGTGGACTAGGATTATTTGATATTAACATAATTTAAACCAAAAATGTGACCAGAAACAGTTACTACCTTCATAGTTCATAGGTTTGGATCAAACATACTGTTTAGCTAATACTATCACAAGTATTGAGTAGACTTAAAATTAATGAGTATTTTTTATCCCATCCACTAAATGTATGTACTAGACAACCAAGTCCATCTTTGTGTCCAAATGCACGAAATTTATTGGGATATTACCTTCACCTGTTAACCATGATAAGATGTTTCAATGAAATTAACCAAAAGGTTCAGCTTTATATTTCATCAAATAAAAGTTCTGTTTTTGATAAGATGACATCTAGGTTTGGAATAGTACTGCAGTCTCCCTGTAAAAAACTTGCACCATTTATTAACTGTAAGGAAGATGTGGGAGGAAATAATTTAGTCATTGTGCCAAGATTTAAAGAGAAACTATAGATTTTAATATTTTTGTGCAAAGGCAACAGAAGCTAGTAGCAATATATTTCATATTTACTGGGCGTCCTTGTGATATTTACTTGTTTCCTGTTCCTGTTTTAAGATACAGTTACAGTTTTTTTTAAATGTCTCATCAACACGTGAATATTTATTCAAGGTTTATAAAAACCTTGATTAATTCTGAGCAGGCACCAAATGCTTAAGGTTCAACATAATGTAGTTGCTAGGCTGAGTCACATTTTTTACCTTTTGGCTCTGTTTGTAGAGCACAATGCATTGGAAATTAAACAATTTGACAAAGTAATGAGACTGCAGTGGTGCGGCTCAGCTTTAATTGTGAGTTAAAATAAAATATTGAAATCGCAAATGTTGGCACACTGTAAAACGAAAAATATCCCTCCTTCTTTTGGTTTAATTCAAAATATAGATGTTTATATATGTTTTGAAATCCAATAAATTTGACCCGAACCATGAGGCACACGAGTCCTCCCTGGTGATAGTCCTGGCACTTTCTGTCAACATACTGAAGGACACTACAGAGTATCTTATCAGTAGCAATAAATCAACTTCAATTACAAAGAAATAATACAAAGAGCTATGATTAAGGTGTGCGAAGATGCCAGATTTAAAGCAAACAGAAGTAGAAAACAAGTCAGTCTGCAGAGAAGACTATTGTGTCTTCTGTTCAGACCAGTCATTTAGAATGACTGGGGAATAGAGCGGGATTATCCATTAGCAGTTCACCACAGGTCTCACCACTCAAGCTGCAGAGGCTCAAGTGTGTTGCAGTGCTAATCTGTCCGATAATGTTCATAAGTCCAAATGAGGCCAGGACACTCAACTCTAACAGATTAATCTTCGAAGACCTTATGCCAAGATTACATCTTCTAATCAAACTTATTTAACTAAATCGCTCTGAATCGTTGTGCTGATATGAAAACTAGAAGGTTCTCACTTCACCCTATGATTCCACCAATCAATAACCGGATAATAACAGAACTGTAAAGGCAAAAAGAGTGGAAAAAGCTGAGGCAGAAAGTAAGTTTCTACTTGTATTAGTAGAAGTTGTTAAAGCAAAAATGTGGACCATTCCATGTTAAAAAAAGGGTGATGGGTGAAGTACTGGTCAATGGCAACTTGACCTGGGTTAGGTCTTGTCAATGTGACCAATGCTGGGACAAAGCAGTCATACCTGCAGCTTCCAGCAGAGCTTCGAGCCTGGCCTGTGTTTCAGGATCAACCGTCCTTAAATCAACACCGTCTGTGGCACTTGACAAGAGCAGTTCTGACGCTGTCTTCATGATGGGGTTATCCAGGTCCTCCTGGTCCAAAATGAATGACTCCACCTGAAACAAAGAGGGAGGCAGTAAAATAATAATTAGATCAGTATACATTTGACAGCTACAATTTAGAATGAATACAGCCTAAAATTATGGGTCCTTATTATGCTACAAAAGATAATTTGATACAAAAGTAATAGTGCAACTGGGCAGAACGAGCATTTTGAATTTATGCCGTGTTGCTTTTACCCACAAATGCAAGAACCCTTTCTTTAAGCAAAAAATACAAGGGTTAAGAAAAATGCTAAAACTAGGAATTACAGCATTTGCACACAAGCACATATTTAACCAATACATTACTTGGAAGCTTCATTAATATTTTTTGAAGATTATCTTTATAAGATTACAGGGCAGAAATGTATTGTAATGTATGTATCTAAATGTGTTACCTGAAACTAATCCTCCACCTGTTTTTGCATTTTTTTAAATAAAACCCATAAAGTCAAACAGTAATGGCTGAGGTAACACACACAAGACTGAATACAAACAATACATTACTATACTACATGAGAAAATATATTGTAAAGTTTCATCAGTTATCCAAAAGTTATCATACATTTATCTGCTTTAAACTGAACTGACAAAAATGACAGTGAATACAGTGAACATAAAATCCTTTTAGAAAAATATTTTCACATGATAGGAAAGCTCTAACATTTAACAAGTAAACAATGCTGTCTAGGTTCATCCATATGCTGCAGTAGGCTTTTAGAACTTGCTGGAGAGTGAGCAAATGCTGTGTGAGTGTCAGCACTCAACTATGTGGAGGAATTCAGCTACATGATTGTGCATAACAAACCATGGGGAATGTAGTTCTACAAAGACCTTTATAATCAACAATGGACATCAGTCTTGACTGTTAATGAACTACAGTTCCCACAGTGTTGGTATCCAGAGAGCTGGAAAGGCCTGGAATGGCATCTGCTTAATCCAGGGGCTCAGATTTTAGCTACTGCCCAGAACTGTGACTACTCCACTGGAGTGAAACACCACAACAAACGCTGCCTTTCAGGCTCACGCTGCAGGCTAGCTCCATAAGGAAACATGACACTGCTGTGTACTTGCAGCACGACTCAATTTAAGAGTCTGAGATGTCACTGTCGGACCTTATATTTTGGTTCATCTTCTGCTTCTTAGTAGCAGACGCTTAAACTGAATCTGCACATTAACACAGTGGCAATATCCTTTTCCCAACTAGCTGTTACAGTGGAAGTATTATTTACACACACACTACTCAGATCAGATATTAGTTAAGTACAACAGCAGTAGTTTCAACAGGTAATGTGCAATCCTCTCCAAACTCTTAACACCTTGATGATGGCGTTGCTGTGAGTCAACCATGCACCACTTTTTCAGATGACAACAATTATATTGAAATAAAAAAAATTTAAGTATTTTACCAAGACGGTTCACAAAAAGTGTGTCCAAGTCAAATATGTGCATATGCTACAGTCACGTGTCAGAGTAAACTCTTAGGTGTCAACAGTATCCCTGATGTAACTGCCAATTCATCAGACAAGGCATAACGTAAACATAACCCAGAGTGGTTCTGTCGCACTCATCGAAAAGAACACGGTGTCTGTTAATATTGCTAAGTCTTGAGATAAACATTTGATGTAATGTGTGTTCATCACAGATGATGTAAAATATGATTGTAGTTAAGAATGTCACTTTTGTGGCCGTGTGTGACTGCCGGCACCTAAAAAGTTGGACAATTCTCAACATCGACTTGACCTGTTCTGACTGTGACAAGGCACAGCTTGTTTTCACAGTGTTCCTAGATAAACTGACCGACAAACACCAACGATGAAAAACAACAAATACCCTATTTGTCAACACCTACTGTGGAAAATTCTCGCAGTAATGCGATAGACAGCTTTATCTGCACGTATCAAAAAGTTAGCTGAGTAACGGTCAGAGCTTGATTTACATGATTTTTCTAATGTGACGTAGTTGCAGCGCACCTACGAAATGGCAGTTATTAAGTGTCTTGTACATTTATGTCCTGAATCTTCTATATGCTGGGGCGGGAGAGCAGTAGGAGAACATGCAAAGTTATATTGGGTGTTACTATACGACAGCACCGAACGAGGCCGTCGTCGCTACCACCCGAACTAGGCCGTGGCCACAGCCTGCACTTTATAAATAAAACATTTCAGCCGGTTGGCGTCAACAACCTCCACTGTCTCACCAAACACTGTCGACATTAAACACTACATTATCACTAGACTTGATAGCAACGCTTGTTGGATTTAATGTGGCTTAATTTGATATGATTTCAGCGGCCTTCTCGGGTGGTTGCCAGCTGTGAGCTAACAGCTAACAGTGGAATGTTGCCTTTGCCTGGGCTATGCTAACTAGCTTAGCTTAGCTACCTCTGAAACCTCGTCTTCGTCGCTGCCGGATCCTGGACCCGAGGAAAGGACGGCCGCGGCCGCTAGTTTGAAATCCAGTCTGTCTGCCGCAGCTCCGCCAGGTTCGCCGTACAAACGTACTTTCTTTCCTCCCACACCAATACCAATGCCCCCTAGTCCGACTCCTCCTGGTGTCGCTCCTACCCCCATCCCTGCCACTGGGGAGCGAGGAGTCACCGAGTCAATCTCGTCCTCGAAGCCGTCCGTCAGCATTGCCGTCCCGGCTACTGCATCCTGCATAATTATGTTCACAATACGTGTGTTAACGAGCTAGCTGTTGACTTAAACGTCCGTCCAGGTTCTTTCTTTAAGTATATTAGCGTGTTTTTACTTCAGGGAATCCAGAAACTCTCCCGAAGCGAGGGTTGAGGAGGATCTCTTTCCCCCAGCCATTAACTTTCTAACAACCTAACCCGATACGCACTGTTTCTTAGAAAGACCGCCTTCGTGCTGAATTCTGACAATTCTATTGGTTAGGCGTGTGGGAGCTCTGTTTTCTATTGGTCTATTTTAACGCCCGTCAAACGTGAGACCGCAACGTCATGTTAGGTTTACCAATATCACGAGGCTGTAGAACGAACGTCAAGACATGACATGGTAGGCCAACTTAACTGGTAGCTAGCTCTACTAGTTGATGTTAACTCCTGTTGAGAAATGACACTATCAGAGGTGGGATACAGAGAATGCACTGGTACCTGTTGAACATGTTATTCATTAATTTAAAGTGAATTTAAGCCGTGTAGTGAGAGCTGAAATTTACAATACTGCAACTTGCTGCTCTGTTGTGTAAACAGTAAAAGTAATAATCTATTTTTAAAAAATAAATAAATAAAAGAGTTTTTTCTGTATAATTATTGGCAAAGGACTACAAAGACAATAAAAAAACAAAGATAAGAGACAACTAGATAAAATATTGTATTCATTTTTAATGTATGTAAGCCAAACATGTTAACACATAATCCTGTTAAAATTATAATATATTTTATATATAATTTTCATAAATTATTATTATAATTAAGTGTTCTCAAGCAGTTGACATTAAAAACAACTAATTTGAATGAGTGACTTTTGCCTCTAAATAAATACTATATTTTATATCTTGATTACTGCATGGCCCCTGTGAAAAGTTCATTTTAGGGAAATATACATGCAAGACAACAAATGTTTATTTGTTTGTTTGTTTTTTACTGCATTCTCTTGTTCATTCTCTGTTCAATTGCCAGGACTGCTCTCTAACAAATAACTAGTCAATGTATAATGTATGTATGTGTAATGTATCATATGTATACATCACACTTTGTATTGGATCCTGAAAATACATTCTCTGTTTAATTGCCAGGACTGCTCTCTAACAAATATTTCCAATGTTGTATTAATTGTTTAACTTACTTAAGTTGGTTACAGTTTGTTATTTAATGAATCTTTAAATATATTTAATATAAAAATAAATTAAATAAAAAGTGTCCCATGTTTGTCTTTGCAGCCAATCCATGTAAAGCAGTACGCATTCTGGCACTTTACATATGACATGCTCATGGACATTTTTTAAATTCCTTAAATTCTTTACATGAATGCTTCTACAGTAAATTTAGGATGTATATTGTAAGACTGTGTTAAATTCGTTTGTATGTTATATTTATTAAAAAGAAAATAATCACTTGTGCCTGTCACTTTGTATACACTTAATAATATTTAAAGGCCACTAATGGTTATGCTGCATGCTTGGACCGGTAAGAGCAGACAAGGGATATTGACCATGAAACCCAATCCCAAGATGTTGCTAAATCTTACACAATGTACCGTTAGTTCAGATGTTAATTGACTCAAATTACCAGTTATAGCCCACTATAAAGTTTTCTTTCTGCTTCTGCATTAGAAGTTCGCTAAAACAATAGTTCACGCATGATCATCATTAAAGACAATGCCATTACTGATTTATTCAGAGACTAAGCAAATGTGTGCCGGCCCATTTATTTTTCATATTCTTTCACGAATTTATTGATATTAAAGATATGCAGTTTTATGAATAAGGCATTTACCCTAGAAAATATAAATAATAATGAAATATGATAGTTGAATAATAAAGGTTGCAGAACTTCAATTTCAAATAAAAACTATTTCACTAAAATACTTTAATTGGTGCATTTAATAAATACCCAGTTCTATGTGGCTATTCCATATTTACAAAGTCATAATATTGAATAGCTATTTTACTAAGCAATAAAAACTAAACTATCTTTCAAGGGGCTAAAACCTAATCGTGTTCTAGCTTTTAATGAGTAAAATAAGATTGTACCAAAAATGGGTCATCACAAACAACTGTGATAAATGCGACTTATTTAATGGCCTTTCATGTTTTATGACATTGGACTGCTTTGATGAGAATAAGCAGTGTTTCGGCTTGTACCTCTGAATGACATACACAGTATACTGTAACACGGGATGAAAGGAATATCAAACCGACTGACCATTTAGTTCAAACACCACGGTTACAAATATTTGTAAGACAGGAGATGCAAAGGCGCTACCCAAACCTTCGTGTAACAACGTCATGGTTTTAGGGCGTGGATGCAGAACGGCCTGAGGCGCTTCCTTAAGTGGCCAGGATTGCCAGATTTGCACACGAATCCACACCAAAGCTGACTTCCGTTAGCAATTGCCATAGACTAGTTTTTATGAAGAAAAAAATCAGATAACAAATCTTATAATTATAAAATTTCATTCTTGACTGATGTGCCTGTATAAACGCTTTTTGTGTAGAATTTATTTAAGTTAATTTTTCACAAAGGGGGGTATTTTGAGGATCTGGCAACCCAGTGTACTTTCGTCTGCATCGCGCGGGGCTCTTGGTCACATACTCCGGCGTGTTAAATCTACAAGTACCTTTGTATCAGGTAAGTGGCTTATAGCGTATTCATTTTTTCTTATCTGGCCAAAACTAAATACGACAAGTGTATAAAATTAAATTGACTATTCAAGTACGACACATATCAGAAATTCTTATACCAACGTCGATGCTGGTTGGCGAGTGCTCGCTGCAGAGCTAACAGCTAATAACATGGCGCAGGCTGAATAGGCCGCTTTTGTTCTTGTTTCTTGTTGCGTTGATAAAAACGACTAAAGATATCGCATCCCTCGTGAACGATTTACAGGATTTTTTAATTGTTTAGCATTAAAATTGCATTATGTATCTTCTACGTTTCCCATATAATTGTTATACTTGTAAGCTCCAGACGTGCTGAATTGATGACAAAGTGCCGCTAGCTTGGAGCCAGTGCCGGCTTCTGCCGCGCAATTTTACTGTTTTGCTTTTCTTAGAAAAGCAGCGAATTCAATTCTTGTGAAGATAGTTAAAGAGAAACTATACTTTCTTGATAAGTTTAAGCTAGAGGTCGTTCATTGAATCACAAAGACTTGATTTCACAAATCATCACGAGAGGGCGCTGCCAACTGACTCGCTCCGTCTAAACGCGAGGTTCATGCATTGTCCTTTAGTGTTGGTTTAACATTCAAGTCAGAGGAAAAGGAACTTATAAACCGTCCAATAAACTTTACTGGTAGGTATATGAAAGCAACACTATAAAATTAAACGAATTTTACTGGTAGGTATATGAAAGCAACACACCACGAACGGGATAAAAACGAGGCATATATTATTCAATTTGTTGTTCTCTTAATTGGGGTCAAAGTTAAACGTGTACCACACTATTGTATGTATACACCTCTACATGAAAGCAGAGCCCTGTGCTATAAGCCACCTGGCCACACGTGATTAGCTGGACTCATTAACCAGGGAATTAAATCTATATTACCCAGTGCCTTATGTAAACTATATGCCTTAACAGTGACTGATAACTGTTGCATCCCATTGTTTTCTATAGTGACTGTGACCCATTATGGCTGATGAAGGATATGTAGTACGCATCAGGGGTCTCCCTTGGTCCTGTTCAGTGGATGAAGTACAGAGGTTTTTTTCCGGTGAGTACATGCTCAAAATGTTTAGGATTCAGACAATAGTTTAACAAGTGAAATATTTCAAATTATATTCTTACATTTAATTCAATACAGATTGCAAAATCCTCAACAATGGAGGCGGCATTCACTTCACTTACACAAGAGAGGGGCGTCCCAGTGGGGAAGCCTTTGTGGAGTTGGAGTCAGAGGAGGACCTTAAGCTTGCAGTAAAGAAAGACAGAGAAACTATGGGTCACAGATATGTCGAAGGTACGTACCACTCAAGATTGAGGACTTATTTTGGAAGAGCACGCCCATTGTCTTTGGTGCAGTTGTAGTAACTGCCTCCCTTGTCTCCTCGTGGATTCAGTGTTCAAATCCAACAACGTAGAAATGGACTGGGTCATGAAACACACTGGTCCGAACTGTCCAGAAACTGCTGGAGATGGACTGGTTCGCCTTCGAGGCCTTCCCTTTGGCTGCAGCAAAGAGGAGATTGTACAGTTTTTCTCAGGTACAGACATTTCTTGTTCACCTGTAAATTGTGAACTTTTTAAAAAAAATTATATTCATTAAAAACTCTCAACTTATGTTTCCAAACACTCAAGAAGGCTTTTTTACGTGTTTTTGATTTTTATTACAGCAGAAAAAAAATATTAATTTGATATTGGTGTGAAAATTTTGCTGGAAAGGAATCTCAGTTGACATTTAAATGGAGGAATTATTTCAATGCTCTTTCCACGGCGAGGACCTTTCTTCAAACATCCTTTTTCTGTCTCTGCCCTTCATAACCATCTAGAGGTCACTCATCATTTTTTGGGGCTTCGTATATTTATAAACGCTTATATTGTCTTTCATATACCTCTTGATTATTTACCCATAGTACACTTGATCCGCATTGATCTGTGATACAAAAGTCTCTTTCCACAGTGTTCTCGTAACCTCACCTTGTGTTTAATTTACAATTACAAACCTATAAAGGATGCCAAATGTATCTTAATGAATTCACTTTAAGTCTCATGTCACCCACCAGGATCTCTCGTCATCTTCACATCGGTACTAGCCTTACACATCACAAAATGTTCTCTTCCATCTTTACCTCTGTCCTCTCATTTATCCTTTACCCCACAATTTAAAAAAAAACCCACTGTAATTTAATATTAGTTAGTGATTGGTTTAAATCTGAACTAGTTTGTTTGATGATGTGTAGAGTTTTCCATAAGTTTTATCTTTTCTCTCTTTAGAGAAAATTCTCTCTGTGATTGGGAATGTGATTTAATATGTCCCCTGCTGGGGTTATCTGTCCTTGGGTTGAAGGGTTGGAAATCGTGCCAAATGGGATAACATTGCCGGTGGACATCCAGGGGAGGAGTACGGGGGAGGCCTTCGTGCAGTTTGCTTCACAGGATATAGCTGAAAAGGCTCTAAAGAAACACAAGGAAAGAATAGGGCACAGGTGGGGATGGTTGGTTGGTTGGCTGGATAAGTTACTTTTCTTATGGTGTGCACCTTCAACATAAAGTATAAACCAAATGTTCTTTTCACAATGGCCGTATTCAAGCACCTTTGCAGCTTTTATCAATAACCCATCGAATGTACTTCCATATTAGATTGAGAAATACCACATACCTTTATCCATGTTCCTGGGAACATAAAAGTGTATTTATGCACCAATCACAAACACACCAATTAGTGCATTTGTTACTAAGTCAAAAGCTGTTTCCGCACTAAACATGACTCAAGGCTCTTAAATGGTAAAGAGTCTCCCTGGTGGTAAAATCAGAGGGCTACTGTACAAAGGATCTGAGGCCCACTGTTACAGGTAACGCCTATAGTGGGCAACAGAAGGGCAGTAGCCCTCTTGTCCTTCATAATAAATGAGGAATTAGGGCTGTCATAGCAGGGACTCAGGACGCCTTACAACAAACACATGGAATCCAATCTGTGAAACACTCCAGGTAACCATAAGAAAAGTGTAATAGGCCTTTTTTATGAATTTGAACATCTTCCTCAACTCAGTAGACAAGTTAATTCTTTGGATCTGTATAATAAGTACAGTTACAATAGATGTTATCGCCTATGGACTACAACATGACAGCATCTAGGTCAGTGCCATCAGTAATGAACACGTGTCATCTTATTCCTGACCTCAGACGCTCACTGTGCTGTGTCTATGCTCTCAGGTACATTGAGATCTTCAAGAGTAGTCGCGCTGAGGTGCGGACCCATTATGAACCACAGCGCAAGCCCATGGGCATGCAGAGACCTGGCCCCTATGACCGACCCTCTGGTGGTCGCGGCTACAACATGATGGGCCGAGGAGGATCTTATGACAGAATGCGTCGTGGAGGTTACGGAGGAGGTGAGGGTTAGATAAATGAAGAATCTGAGATGTGACTTTATAATTACCACACACAGAAATTCAAATGATGACTTGCACTCTCTTTATATTAGATAAAGACAGCACCAAAAAAAAGTATTTTTGTGTCCTCATGAGACCTTGTGCTTTTGTTTTTTTTTTATGTGTATTAAGGCGTGTCAGATGGACGCTACGGAGATGGCGGTTCTTCCTTCCAGAGCACAACAGGCCACTGTGTCCACATGAGAGGCCTGCCATACAGAGCCACAGAGACAGATATTTACAATGTAAGGCAGTAGTCTTTGACTTTGCTCAGTGGTTTCTTAACCTTATGCAGTCCATTCTTCCTTTGGATAGAACTAATGTCAAGTCCACCCCACAACACTCCCCAAGTATGTAGATACATGCACAGCTTTTGCTTCTAAACTCATAAACTTGACAAACACTATAATTCATACAAAGTTGCTCTTTTCGTGAGTAAAAGGAATAAAATACAGCACAATCTAATGTCCTTTCTTTTCTCTGGTACTTTAGTTCTTTTCACCTCTGAATCCAGTCCGGGTCCACATTGAGATAGGTCCAGATGGCAGGGTAACCGGGGAGGCAGATGTGGAGTTCGCAACGCATGAGGACGCCGTAGCTGCCATGTCCAAAGACAAAGCAAATATGCGTGAGTTTTCTTTTTTCTAAAGTAAGACTTCAGAGAAGTCCCTACTGTGAAAATCAAAGGTTTTATTTCCACCCCTCAGAGCACCGATACGTGGAGCTATTTTTAAACTCAACAGCGGGAGGCAGTAATGGCGGATACGGTGGCCAGATGATGGGCGGGATGGGTAAGAGTTTTTTTTCTCCAGTGAGGTCTGTAGGCCCTTATTATGGAATTGACAGTGTAGAGTTAAAATAATACCCTTGTCTTTTGTGCAGGAAACCAGTCGTCTTACAACAGTGGACAGCTGGGCTCAGGTTATTCTGGTGGATACGGAAACCAAGGAAACATGGGCGGCTACAATGACTATAGTGAGTGTTGGCTCTATGACAGCATCTAAATATAAACTTCTGCTCTAAGTGCTTCTCAATTATAGAAATAATAATATTACTGTGCATACCTTGAATTCCCGGTCCTATAGTGTGTATTCTTCCTCTTGTTAGGTAACCAGGGCGGAATGGGAAGCAGTTACTATGGCGGAGGAGGCGGCGGTGGAGGAGGAAGCAGAGGCTCTATGAATGGACTTGGAGGAGGATGGGGAATGTAGTTTTTTCACTCTTAAGTTGATGTGTTCTTTTTAACTCCAGCATTTTGCTGAAAGGACTGGAAATGTAAATCTCACCTGTAAAAGGTCGGGTCAGGCGAGGAGGTATCCAAAGTACCAATTGTTAGGGTTTGTACGTATATTTTTTTTTTATGAGGTTAATGATCTTAAAGATGTGAAGTCTGATATCAGGAGAAATGTCACAAGCGCTGTTCATCCTCTTTATTTCTCAGTTCCACTGTTTAAAAAATGTTTGAAATTAAAAGTTGATGCCAGGAAATTTGTGTTTTTCAACAAATCCAGCATACTTTGTCCTTTCTTAGCAGTTTTACTATGTTCAATGTGTTGAGTGCATGAACAAAAAAAAAATCCAGTGACTGATATCTTCTGATGTTTTGACCTTCATGTCATCTTCTAAATAGAGATTAGCCTATTGTTTCCAATTTAAGTGTTAATCTGACCTAAAGACTTCATATGGGCGTGTTTTGTTTTCTTAAGGTGTGAATGTTGATAGAGCAGTTATTTTGGATGAGAACTGTTCCAACGGCAAGTGAATTTAGGATATGATGAAATTGAAGGTTTCTACTGCTTCATATGTTTGTATTCCCTGTGCACAACGTGAATAAAACTAGTCTGAAATATCCTGTTGATGTATTGTAAGCACTGAAAAGCTGAGCCTAGACTATTTCATTAATTGGCGCTAATATGATGCAAAAGTAGGATTCCCACCTGCTGTTCAGAATGTTCCTTTTTCGATCCAACCTTGTCCACAGCCACACTTTGGGATTGCATAAAGAAGGCCATGAAAATAGCCACATCACTATGGAGTCGACCTCTGCTGACCCCTGGTAAAGGAACAAGCCAAAGGTGATTCATTGTGGCAACACCTATATCCACTCAGTTGTAGGATTTCTACAGTCTTAATTTTTTTTATATGTAAACAAGATAACTGCCTGATTTAAATATTATAAAGCTAAATTAACATTATTGAAACTAAGTGCAAAGAAACTTTGAAAAAAGATCAAAATTGTTATCCCCCTTAAAAGTAAGCTACTTGAACAAAAGTTGAAAAGTACTGCTTAAAATCATGTCAATACTAGTACATATATTACATGGATACACAAAGCATTGGGAAGTATTGTGGGTTGTACTTAAAACCAAAACGGGATATCAAGAAAATGTAATAACCCTGAAAGGGAAGCTAGAAACTCATAAGCAGTAGACCTTCAGAATTATCACCAGAACATCAGCAATAGTCTTATTTTCTCTTTTTAGGATAAACCATGTGTGAAATATGCCAACCTAGAGTTGATTGCATAAAGGGTAACAGGCTACAATTACTTGGGGACTGTGTCTGTGCAGAACACGTGACTCCATAACGCATAATATGCAAAAAAAACCCAAAACAAAACAAAAAAAAACATCCAAATGGCTGTTACCTGGACACGTTCACCTCCCTGTGCATTCTTGAAGACCATTTACATCCTGTCATGGCAACAGTATTTCCTGGTTGCTGTGAGTTTCTTCTGAGGGATAATGAGTCCTGTCATAAAGGAGAAATTATTAATTAAAATGTCTTATAAGTAGTAGTAGTAATAGTTTGAGAAAAACTACGGGTTTAAAGTTGGTCTCCATTGACACCCCAGTTTGCAACTAAAGCAGAGTAATTCATGCTCAACGCTAATGGTAGGTCAGTCGAAACGTTTAACTGAAGACAGGGTAAATTGATGAACCCCGATTTAATAAAAGTATATACAACTAAATACACAATTGTAATCCACTAAACACGATTATGTGGATGACGTTGGAAACAATTTTAACAATTTAAAAAGTGCTTCCGATTCTGAAATTGACATACCTGTTCTAATACCTAAAGGAACATAAATTACACATTAAGGGAGTTGGTGTCAGATACAGCTCACCTTCAAATATCCTGTGGAGTCCGTATCTTGATGAGTCAGCCACAGGAAAAACTTTCAACATTTTAGTACTGTGGCCATCGTGATTTGCCCTATGGGTGTCTGTGCTGGCCCTGTATTAATGCATCTTATCAATCAATACAACACTCATATGCAAACAGCAGGACTTTAATAATTTTATCAAATATGATTTAAAAATGATCATTATTCAAAATAAGCAAATTGCAGTTGATACATTTGAGAAACCCTTGTTATTGTACAATCTAAAATAGTTTGCATTTGTTAACATTCTATAGTCATTTACATAAAACTAACTTGCATGGATCCAGCAGTGGGATGGATGCTGTGAAGACCAGTGGATGATGTTATAGTTAGACGATAGGAAAGTTCTAGAAAACAGGGCGAGGAAACGTCAGAACCTAATAAAAACTTAGAAATTGATTGAGGGAGACTGATATAATTCCAACTATAAAGATTAATTTAAAAAAATCCCACATGACCTGATACAGCGTTAACCATGGCCCCATGTTTAACACAAACAGATAAATGTTCCTGAATTGCATGTAGCATTTCAAATTCAAACAGTCCAAGCCCAGAGTTGGTGCTTTTTAAATTAGTAATTTTAAATGACAGCAGATGAGCATGCGCCGTGTGTGTTAGTACAGTACAGACATCTGGGCTTTATAGTGTTAGGTCAGGATCCTGTGGACGAGCTTCGCTGTAGCAGGAAGGAGTGGCACACGTCGCACACACGCACGGGTCGGGGGTATGAAGGTAACGCCAGTTCATTGCTGGAGCAGTTGTTGCAGTAGATGTCACCGCAGTTTCTGCAGTGGTGCTGCCGACACAGAACACACCCGAATACAAATCAATTCTAGTTTTTACACCTGTGTGTCTAGGTTTTCTGGCCTAACTGTTGCACCTTCAGACTCCAACTGTGTGATTTTTATTCCATGTGCAAAATCTGTTCCGGGACTGACCCATCATATTGTATCTTACTTCATCTATTTACTAATATAGATATACTATCAAATCTAACTGTATTGTAACTTATTATTATAAGTATTTTGTATCGTAGAGAAAGAAAACACCAACCTTTCGGCGGGCAATGGAAAACTCTTTCTGGCATTGTTTACACTCTGTGGCTTCATCGTCCTTTAGCCACGCGTGGCCCTAAAGGGGGAAAAACAAGATGGGGTTTTCTGCCATCAGTTCCACCTTACACAGTCTTCATAATAAAAGAAACCTTTCATATTTACTTCACCTTCAGGGCTTTGTTGACCTCTTTAAAGTCCTCCATCTTGAGTTTTGACCTATGACACACACACAAAAAAAAAACACAACACAGCATGTGAATAAAATGACACGGCAGAATAACAAGATTAGAATAAAAATGACACGGCAGAATAACAAGATTAGAAGTGAAAAGCTACTGACTGGCTGAGGTGCAGTCCCATCTCCTGTAGTGCCTGCTCCTGTTGCTCACACGTCTGCTGCAGCTGCTGCTTCTCCTGCTTCAACTCATGCAGCTCCTGAATTATCAAATGAAGAAGTGCATTCATTTGCCTGTGAATATGTGACTTAAAACTGTCAAGTTGCAGCTGGAACCCCTTCTGCTGTGGTTCCTGTTTGACACTGACCGTGTTCAGACCCTGCAGTTGTTGCAGTTGTGTGCGGAGCTCCATGCTGTTGTCCTGTTCTCTCTGAAGAGCTTTCTGCAGACTTTGTCTCTGCTCCTTTTCACTGCGTAGCTCCTTCTCCAAACCTAGTCTGTGCAGACAGGGCAGCAAGGTTTTTAGTTTATCACCTAATATATAATAAGGGTAGAACCATAGACTGAGAAGTTATCTTAATTTTAAAGATACTAAATATTTTTTTTAATTTCTCTTTAATTCTTAACCTCAGCGTGTCCAGGTCAGCCAGTTGTTTCTGCAGCGCATCCACTTTCCCTTCCAGCTGCACTCGCATCACTTGATCTGACTGATCACTTTGTTGACAAGCCTGCTCTGAATTCTGCAGTCTGTTACAACCAAAATACAAAAAACAAAACCCTGAACATAAACCACATATAAGGAGAGATGTATTTGTAAACATACATGTGCACATGACTGACCTCTGCTCTAAATTCTTCATCACTTTCTCCATTTCATTCATCTTCAGCTCCAGCTGCACAGCCTCGGCCTGCTTCTTTTCTGCTTCACATTCAAAGTCCTTAAGAGTCACATGAGCTTGGTAAAAGTGTGTGTTGTCTGACAGGGGTGCACAACAGGCAAGGAATGTGTGTACTAGGGTAAGCCTAAAACTTCTACAAGGTCTTGTATAATTCTGTATTTTAGAGCTGAAATGGTAGCTGAAATCCAGTTTGATACAAAAATACATTTTGGTATAAAAATAAATAAATAAAAATAAATACAAACAAATAGTTCATTTAATACAAAAAGTTTGTAGTGAAGATTAATGTAACTACTTTACACAACAACAAATATATATAGTGTGTATATGGGTGTTTCTGTGTACCTGAGCTTTATGGAACATCTGGAGGTTAAGCGTCTTGACTTGGTCCAGCTGGAGACGCAGGGCTGCCAGTGTGTCCTGTTTCTCGTAGGTGTCCTTCTCCAACAACTTCATGGCCATCTCCATCTCCTGCTTCAAGCCCACCTGCAGCTCCAACTCTCGCTCCAGCTCCTTACGTCACACATTAGATGGTAACATTTTTTCCCCAAAACTATGTTTTATAAAATTGTTCAGTGGTTGATCTGTCCGTCACTGACCTGGCGAATGTTCTTTTCCTCTTTGTACTGCGTCCACACCACATTGTACATCTCATCCAGTCCTTGTCGGCTCTGTTTGTACGTCTCCAACTCCACCTGGCTGTCCTGAAGGGCTGCCTGAAAAAAGAAAAAAAAAAACAAGCAAAACTACTTTGAAAAACTGTTTTTCATATGAACAGCCAATTCGTGTCAGTCATAGATTTTTCACAGCTGCATTACTGACCTCCTCCTTTTTCTGGCTGGACTGCAGGATGCATTCGTTTTCCTTTCTTAGCTCTTCCTGTTCGTCCTGCAGGGAGTTTATTCTGTCCGTTGCAGCTGTTAGCTGAGAAGTAAGGGAAAAAAAACACTCTCTCATCATTCCCTGCATCCAGGTGCGGTGTTAATAACACCCAACACACAACTGACCTCTTCCACAAGTTTGCTGTTGGTCTTCTCTAGAGACTCCATCTTTGCCTGAAGGTCAGTGACTGTTCCACTTAGGTGACGATTCAGCTCCTCAATGTAGTGCTTTTGGTCTAGTATGGCAGTCATCTTTGCATTGCTAATAAAAGAAAATCAATGAGGTGTGTTTGTGTGTTCCATGGGTTTGTTTATGACACATGGAAAAGCCAAGCTAAAAGTAGCCACTCACTCTTTCTGTGCCTCATTGTGGGCAGGATCTTTCAGGTAAAGAGAGAAGTCAATGACTCCAACCTAAAAAGACAAAGGGAGAAACTGATCTTTTGCAGGTCGACAGTGATACCGCACTGAGATCAACTGAAGTGGAGTTCAAATGAAGCAGCCTGTAATTTCCTATATCATATCTCCGTACCTGGGAATCAAGATCCTCTCCTTTAATGCAGAGATTTGCATCAATTACATTGAGGCCAACCAACAGCCCACCCATCACAGCCCCCTCCTCCTCCAGCATCAATGCTCCAGAGTCATAAAACTCACTGGGAGATTTAGACAGAGATTTCAAATGAGAAAAAAACTGATGGAACATTTAGTAGAATATCCAATTACACTCTGGCTCGCTAACCTCAGGAGATCCTTCCGGTCCAGCATAGCTTTCATATAGTCTGCCACTTTCTTCTGCATCAGCGCTAGATGCAGCCAAGCTCTGGCTCTACCTAAACCAGTCCTGCCAGGAGTGATAACAGAAAATTAGAGGATGTTTACTTTGGAGGACTAGTCGAAAACTAAATGGTGCCGGGGTTTACTTGATCCCAGGCAGGTCTCTGGCACTTGTGGCAATGTCGATGGACTCCGGGCACAACTTCTCAACCAGCTCCAGCGGAGCCCATATGGACTTGTTCTGACCAATGAAAGTCTTTTTGGCTGGGGAAATAGAACAGAACACACTGCTCTGTCTCTTTGTTTTGGTTCTTTAAAACAAGATGGGTTTCATTTTTAAAAGTCTTACCTTTCAAACCATGTTTGAGGCAGTGTTCCAGTACAACAAAGAACTGTTGCAGAGGAGGATAATCTGAGTCCAGTGTCCTGCCCAGACTCATAGAGGACTGGATTAGCACTTTAATACTCAGCTTCATCATGCTGAGCAGGTTGGACCTTTCTATGGCCATGGGGTCTTTGGGAGGCAGTACTGTAAAAACAAAAAACAACATCATTTATAAAACTCCATGCAGAAAGAAAAGTACATTTCACCATTAGAAAACTAATAATAAAAACATTTTCTGTGGGCAGACGGAATTATACCTGAAAAAACTACATTCATATCACATACACGGTGCAATTGAACATTTATATCAATATAAAACACCAACATAAAGCACACGAGCTAATTCTAATTAGCTCAGCGTTAACCAGAAACTAATCCGAGAAGCTTTCGTGGTGCTCTCTCCAATGCAACGCGTGAAGCTAAACGGTGGTACTGTTAGATTTAAGTCTTTAAATGACCCACCTGAGAACATCACAAGAACCTCGACAGACTCACTAGTGTTCGACCAGGCTAAAAGTGTATGCTTTGAAAGCCTGAGTCAGTAAAACACTGAAACGGTACCGAAAACAAAACGATGAGTGCAGCGTCAGTAATCCATCAAAATCAATGTTTTTTTTTCTGTGGAGTCACATGTTCTGACAGCTCAGTCAGTTTTCCTCAGTCCAAGAGGAAGTGATAGAAATAAACCAGGGTCTGCAGTGACTTGAGTTCATAAACAACTTAAAAGGGCTAAAACAAACTAAATTATTAAACATTAATCACAGCTTACCCGGGAGTCTTTTACCAGTACCAAGGAGCCCATTCTCTGGCTCCTTTTCCGTCGGAGAGTTGCCAGCTGAGCCCTGCGAGGGGAGCCTCGGGGCTGAAGCGTAGCTCATCCCGCTGCTAATCGTTTCCGTGGCCTTACGAGCCAGAGACAGGAGGGGAGCGGTCCAGGGGTTCTCTACTGCCGCGACAGGCGAACTCACCGTCTGACCCCGTTCGTCACTGTCGCCGACATCATCGCCGGTGGCAGGTTCACAAACGTTGTTTATTTCTGCCTGCTGTTCAGTATAAACAACCTCGACAGTTGTGTTTACTTCTTCTGCCTCGGCGGCCATGTTTGACCACCCGCCCTCTTATCTACTTCTCACGTGACCAAAATGGGCCAATCAAGGTCCCCGTCTGTTGTTATTCTATGGATTTTGACCAGTCTACATTTATGTTTGTCGCCATCTACTGTTTTGTTGTTTTTTTGTTTTCTGCTTTATTCAAATATCTAATCAGGGCATCAGAGGAAGAGTCCATTTCGAGTGGCAGTCAAATCAATCACAATTGGTAATTGACGATGTTTGCTCGGTACCGTAAAGATAAAGAAATATACAAATAGAGACGTCAAATGTGAAACTATCGCTCTCTATCAACATGAATAAGGACTGTACTCAGCTGCTTATAAATTACACCTAGAACGGCAAAGTAATGAAAACAGTTAGGAGTTAGGAAATGTTTAGTCTTGATTTACCTATTTAACTACACATTCCAAATTCATCCACAAGGGGGCAGAGACGAACTATGCATGTTTTCCCGCTCTGTCTATCTATCTATCTATCTATCTATCTATCTATCTATCTATCTATCTATCTATCTATCTATCTATCTATCTATCTATCTATCTATCTACCATCTAGATGTAGATATTTAAATGGCAGAAATGAGAATATTGCCAAAGAAAAGCAGTCTTTCAAATATTCAGGTTAAAAGCCACAAAGTGAGGCAGTTTTGTTGCACAACACCCAGTTCTTAGAATAGAAATTTAAAGTAAGAGATTATATTAAAAAAAACAACACAGTCTAAATAAAACCAGCTTTAATGTTCCAGTCATTTTATTTATAACATTATTATTATTATTATTATTATTATTATTATTATTATTATTATTATTATTATTATTATAATGAACCAATTCCAGTGTCTGCTCATCAGTGTATTCATCAAAGGACCCAGCCTTTCCACTGTCTCGGTCCTTGACGACCAAACCAGGAGCTTTAAAGACTTATTTCCAGCAGGTCAACGTCAAATCTTAAGGTTTGGAGAGATTTCCCTGTGACTGTGGTGATGTCTAATAAAAAAACGATTATCTAATAACCTCTTATCACATGATGACTCCTGTTTGTCATGATAATATTGCAATTTTATTTCTATAACAGTGTACATGTCGACTACTCCTACTTTTTCTTCAGAGATGAAGTCATGACTAAATCCACACCTCTTGTCTTAAAATCTGCATACATCAGTTTATTTTATTTTATTTTTTCAGTATAAGTACATTTTGAACAGACATAATCTTATTGATGGTGAGTTACTGACATTTATGAATGTGGTCTCGAGGCAGTCTCAGAACCTCAGACTCTGGGGCAGTGACAGTGAGTGTGGGGCTGAGCTGCTCCTGCTGCTGCTGCCCCCTGAGGAGGCGTGGTGAAGTGAGCCCATAAATACGGCCGTGCCTCTGAACAGACGCGCTTTTCCTCAGCTCCTCTCGCACTATCACACACACACACACTCTCTCACACATACATACATTTACACATACATACACACACACTCAAACACACAGACGGGTCGCCTTTTGGTACCGACACCCGGAAAGGATACATCCATTCATACTAAGAACAAAAAGAAGAGAAAAAAACAAGAAGAACAAGAACAACAACAAAAAAGGAATATAAAAAGAAACACCGGACAAGCAGGAAGGAAGGAAGGAATACGAGTTCTTCTGTGGAGTTTTTTTCCCCTTCTTTTTCTCTCTCTCTCCTGAAAACATGAGGATTTTCAGTGCTGTTCTACTACTGCTTCACACCTTGGGTGAGTTTCATGTGCGGACGTTGACAAGCGTTTCTGTGTCAGTGATGATGATGATGATGATGATGATGATGATGATGATGATCCTTTAAGCCGTTCTCCTGCCTCACACCTGTGCACTCAGCCCTTGTAAACTCCGTATTCAGTGGTGATATGCCAGTCTATTCAGGAGCCAATGGGATCATCTCTCTTATTTTAGAGCCTGCTTTATGTAACTGGATACACTTATTTTTAAACCATATTCTTGCCTGACATTAACTAACACTATGTGTGTGTGTGTGT